TACCGAACATGTTAGCTCGAGCAGCACCTATAGGGCAAGACAAGCAGTGAGCGCTAATGGCAGCCTCGTTATCCGGCTTGGTGCACCGTAGGAGAGGGTGATGGCTTTAAGATAAGTTTATTTAAATGGCTACGAATTGAGCACGCGCTATTGATATCAGCTTTTTGCCCTAGCCCGATCTGAAAAGTTGGGGAACTAAAAACCTGGGTGAGGCTACAGGAAAAAATGTGGGGGAACAGGAAGGTGTGTAGTTTGGGAATTGGACACAAGAGATGCTGCAAGTGACAGTGGTGACAGAAGGTAAGTGGCGGCACGAGAAGCTAAATTGGTGGTTGGGGTGTCATTCAAATGGGAGCGTGAGCAAGTTGGTATAAAAGGGAAAACAAATAAAGGTGGATCCATCATATCTTGATATGAGTATCTTTGCAAGGACATGCGTAATGTTTATATCGTGAAACACCCATTGGATTGAAGGCCGAAGCAATTGCATGCAATACTCTTCCATGGAGAGAGGTGATAGTGCCCGAAGGCAACGGTTGCGTTGGCAACGTATCGCGACTTGTTGACGTTCTTATTGTTGGGAGAGAAGATGGGGATGGATCTTGAAGATGTTGTGGATCAATTGGGTTGAAGTTTTTGAGGCATACTAGCTATGTTGTTTGAGTTGCCGGGTCACATGGGTTACATAGTCTACATGAAGAAGGACGAACAACGTGGTTGAGCTAGAAATGAGATATTCGAGATTACTAAGCACAGTTAATGTCAAGGCACGGAGATAATCAAGCTACTTCACGGTGTGGTGTTCGTTGTTGGCATTGTAGATATAGGTATTGGAAACGGTGATTGGTGGGTTCGGGTTTAAAAATTAATCGCTGCATTGATGGGTAGTTTGTTCGTGTACTCCGAATTTTCAGGATAGATTGGGGAGCGTCCAGTTTTGAAGGAGGTTCGGGATGGTGGGGCATGGTGACGGAGTGGTATGAGTTGTAGGGCCTCTTTGCTAGAGAGGTGGTCGTGGTTGGCAACTGGGTTTGGGTGTCGGTAGTCTTTTTTACTGGTGATGGGAGCATGTGCGTGCAGTATTTTGTTTTTCAGGCTTTGGCGATTGTAGAGCATCGCCGAGTGCTTCGAAAGCTGCAATGGCGTTGTGGGTGCTTGGGATTCTTGGTGGGTTCGATGGGTAGTAAGAAGTACTGGATAGGGCGCTGATTGATCGAGACTTCAGCACATGGCGTCTTTGATCTTGCTTATGGGTGAGCTCTTTGCTGTTGTGGTTCTTGGCGGTATTTTGGTGAGTTCTCGGAAGATAATATTCTTCGTTTGCTATGAGTTTCGTACAGTAGTTGCGTAACAAACGATCTCTTCCTCTGAAGTCATTGGCCAAATATAAGTGCTAAATTTCGTTCTTGGAAGGCTTTACTGGAGTTGTCAGTGGCTTTCTGGGTGGTAATAGCAGACCTTTTAAAAGGCTATATTGGATCTTTGTGTATAACACAAAGTGATGATTGAGACCAGTATGGGGGAAATGGGGGAAGGGAGGAGAAACAAGAGAGTGAGAGGGTGACGGTTTTAAGATGTTTATTTAAACAGGCTACGAATTGAGCACGCGCTGATATCAGCTTTTTGCCCTAGCCCGATCTGAAAAGTTGGGGAACTAAACGAGGCTACAGGAAAAAAGGGGGAACAGAAGGTGTGTAGTTTGGGAATTGGTCACAAGAGATGTGCTGTAAGTGACAGTGTGGTGACACAGAAGGTGCAGTGTATACCAAAAGCTAAATTGGTGGTTGGGGTGTCATTCAATGGGAGTGTGAGCAAGTTGGTATAAAAGGAAAACAAAATAAGGTAGGATCCATCATATCTTGACATGAGTAGTCTTTTTGCAAGGACATGCGTAATGTCGGTATTCGTGAGCCATCCATTGATTTGAAGGCCGAAGCAATTGTAGCTGCATCATGGGAGAGAGGATAGTGCCCGAAGGCAACGGTTGCGTTGGCAACGACGACTTGTTGACAGTTCCGTTGTTGGGAGAGAAGAGTAGGATGAAGATGCTGTGACTCAATTGGGCTGAAGTTTTGCGCACACTAGCTTATGTTGTTTGAGTTGCTGGGTCACATGGGTTACATAGTCTACATGAAGAAGTAGACCAACAACGTGTCGAGCTGGGAATGAGATATCTAGGACACGGTTGGGGTTAATGTCAAGTGACGATAATCACGCACTTCATTGCGTGGTGTTCGTTGTTGGTACTTGTGTATAGGTATTGGAAACGGTGATTGGTGGGTTCGGGCTTTCTTGAAAAATTGACCGCTGTACGATGGTGGGGGGTTGTTCGTGTACTCCTGAATTTTTCAGGGATAGATTGGGGAGGTTGTCCAGTTTTGCAGGAGGTTCGGGATGGTGGGCATGGTGACGGAGTGGTAGCGAGTTGTAGGGCCTTCTTTACAGAGAGGTGGTCTTGGTTGGCAACTGGGTTTGGGTGTCAGTAGTCTTTTTACTGGTGATGGGAGTGGTGGCATGCAAGTAGTATTTTGTTTTTCAGGCTTTGGAGCAGATTGTAGAAGATCGTTGAGTGTTTGGGAAGCTTTCGTAATGGTTAGGTGCTTGGATTCTTGTGGTTCGATGGGTAGTAAGAAGTACTTGATGAGGCTGATTGATCGAGACTTGTGCTACGTGGCGTCTCTGATCTGCTTATGGTGAGCTCTTTTTGCTGTTGTGGTTCTTGGCGGTATTTGGCGAGTTCTCGAAGATAATATTCTTCGTTTGCTATGAGTTTGCATGTGCAGTTGCGTAACAAACGGATCTCTTCCTCTGGGCTATTGGCCAAACATAAGTGCTACTCGCCCTTGGAAGGCTTTAATGGAGTTGTCAGTGGCTTTCTGGGTGGCATGGTATGGACCTTTGGGTGGCATGGCATGGACCTCGTGTATAAATACGTGCGATGATTGAGACCAGTATGGGGGAATGGGGGAAGGAGGAGAAACGGGAAGAGATGAGGGTGACGGCAAAGCTTCTGCGTACGAATCTTGTCAGTACATGGGTTTCCATGGAAGCTAATTTGCCACCTTATCATTTATATACTTATTACGCATTCATGAGCTTCACTAACAGTACTCTAAGAGCTATACTTTGATGTTGGAGAGATGACGGATAATCTACAGCATACGTCAAGATAATACCATGGAGCAAGGCTTTCTTTGTAATCAATCAACGTTGAAGGTTGCTTTTGATCATATCATTTATCACGTGGTTACAATAGTGTTCTGCATCAGGCGGTGAAAAAGGCAAGTTGGGCAGAGCAAAATTTGGGTATCCCTTTCACGTCTACTCTTCTTTCTCTTCATTTGCATTTCACTCCACTGGACAATGACATCCACTGCAACTTCATCGCTACGATTTATTCTCAAACGATGACAGCACGTACATGGCACCTTGTGGCACCTCATTCTTTACGCGTCGTGCAGCGAACATGCAAAGAAACTAGCGATCGGGTTCTTTTTCAAGGTTGGTGACAACGAGCAACTACTTCCAGGGGATGTCATTCTTGCGTACTATTGCAGCAGCATGTTGATCAGCTTTATCCATCACACAACAGCCATGTCATATAATCATTACTGTCACCTCTTTGGATCTACAACGCAAGACTTGTTGATTAACGGACCTTACAATGAAACAGCAACAGCACAATGCGGATGGTATGGAAATACGATTTTTATTTGAGGTAATGATGGTGTTGAGAAGCACCCTAGGTAAAAATGTTCATTATGGGATGCATCGCATGCAAGTGCGCTTACGGTGGAAGGCGTGTAATGACAACAGGATCAAGAGACTTTCCCTCGGTTATATCATGCCAAGAATGTTATTGTACCACACAACGGGATTCACTGTCGATGATGCTACCTTACCAGACGATGCTGTAACATGCGATGTCAAATGGGGACCTGCTTCGACATGACATTCACGTACTACCATATCACTCAAGATTCCACTTGAAGGATCACGACACATGACTCAAATCGACAAGGTTGGTAGCTGTGGCAAAGGATTACATGAAGATCGGGCCTGACCCTTGGATGTGTTTTTGGATACGCGATGACAGCGGTGATGATTGATTGTCAATGAATATGGATCATTCAAGAGAACAAAAATGAGAAGGGTTGCTTGTGGATTGGACAATGAGGAGATCAATTATGAACATCAGGAACCACGCCCGGCAAATTTGGTGATTGCATGCATGGCTGCGGTTCTTAGTACGTGATTGAATGATGGGACCCAATAATGACACCACAAACAATGGACAACAACGGCATCAATGGCGTCGCATTCTGATCACGTTCCATCGTCATTTTGGCTGCTGCTGGTACAGTAGATCCAAGGCGTCGTCATATCGATTCATCCCATCATCTAGTTCATTCAACGTTGTGTTCATCGCCCACACGACATGACATCATCAGCAATATAGTAGACCCGTACTCTTGACTCTATTACACGCAATGGATCATACGTGAATAAAACATGCTGAGTGATACCTTCCAGTTGGCAGCGGTTTATAGCAATTCGATATAAGCTGTTTAATGTTTACAAGACGATGATTCTGCATTTGGTCATGCGAGGAGCGTCATAATTGATGTCAATAGGATAAACGTTGACTTGAATAAAAATAAAGAGATCTTCAATACGTGACAATAATGTGATTAAGTCACTGTGAACGTCTTCCATATATCAAGCTCCCTTCCTTCTTGACTTTATCATGATGACAACCACCTTTATTAAAACCAGCTTTGATAAAAAAAAGCTTTGCGAGGCATAGCACGAAAATTAAAGATAGCTCGTATGTCGATAATAAACGCACGTAGAAGACAAGTCATTGCCCATGCATGACCCAAATGGGGGTGGGAATGGAGTTGGTCATTAGAATGGGAAGGGTGTAGTGTGGGTGGTGCATATGTATGAGGCTACAAAACTTCTTCTAGTATACCATCATTTCTTTGGTTGCTATGCTACAGCGAATGTATCTTTCAATGTCTTTTGTGTTGATGCACGTGATCTTTTCTAGCTAAAAAATAGTGCCCAGCTCACGGATAATCTTTTTACTGCACACACTCTCTCTTAATACTATGCTTGAAAATAAAGGGATGACATGTCAGCGACAACCTCGTTGCCATCTTTGAAAAGTTACGCTGACAAAAAATAATACCCATCATCTTCATACTGAGCACGACATGGAATGTCAAAAATTTATTGGGGTGGGTAAGTGCAGGGCGAAAAGAGGAGGAGGATGGTAGTGGCTGGTAAGCCCAGGGGCGCGAGGATGATGATGATGATGGTGGTGGTGGGGAGGGGGAGGTTGTAAAATTTATAAAACCATCAGGTTGTGAGTGTGGGAAACCACCCGGTTGTCCATGCGGGAAAACCACCTCCTTGTAAATGTGGCAAAACGACCTGGTTCTAACGCGGTAAACCACCTGTTCGTTCAAGGGCTCGTCGATGTCGTTCACACGCCTTGATCCCACCACGGCGCGTCGTCCTCTTCATTCTTCAGTGGCAAGGTTGATCTCATCACTACTGCTGTATTCATTACTATCACTGCTGCTGTCATCATCATTGGTGCTGATGATATTATAGAAGTTACAATGCTTTGGATTAATGACTACACGAGTAAAGAAAAGTGAACAAAAAAAAATACGACAAGGGCCATTTAAGCACTTACTTTTCATAATGACTGAAAGAAAGAGTCATCTTTGTTCTTTACACACGCGATTCTTCTCCACATGTGGGAAGCACCAACACCCAAGATACAGTGGGCTGACAACTCTCAAATAGACATTGCCAGCTCTATTACAACAATCAATCAGTCAAGAGGATTTGCATAAGAAGGGTGTGGATGTTACATACCTTGTGGCTTTCTTCCTCAACACAGGCGTCTCCTCTTCGCCGATGTAAATGTGAAGGACATATTTTCCCGTTGTTGCTGTGGTTGAGCTCCTTGTTGATGCCCTTGGTCTTGGGTACCACTGCGACTTGTCTTCTTGTTCTTCTTCTTGGGGTATACAATGTCGATAGTGGATTCCTTTGCATTAATGACTATACGAGTAAACAAAAGTGAACAAAAATACTAGGATCATCCAAGCACTTACTTTTCGTAATGCTCGAAAGAGTCATCACTTGTTCTTTACGCGATTCTTCTCCGCATGTGGGAAGCACCAACACCCAAAATATAGTGGGCTCATAGCTCTCGAAGATACATTGCCAGCTCTATGACAACAATCAATCAGCCAAGGAGATTTATATAGGAAGGGTGTGGACGTTACATACCTTGTGGCTTTCTTCCTCAACACAGGCATCTCCTCTTCGCCGATGTAAATGTGAAGGCCATATTATCGCCACCGTGCGGGCTGTAGTAGACCACCAAACCCAGCGTTGCATATGCACATCGGGACGTAGCTATATCAAAAAAGGATTATGAGTATGAACTTCATCAAGCGACATCATTGGAGTTTACCTTAATAAAAGAGCCAAACACCAAACGGCAACAATGACAATGAATGTAGGATAACAGAGAGCACTAAAGATAATCACACATTTAGCCCATGGATCGTCCGCAGAAGCTATCCACCATGGCATACCCACGTCAACTTGGTCTTTGAAGGTGTTAGGCATCCAAAGGAGATATGATGGAAAGAAAGAGATACGTGAGAGTAAAACGATGGGCGACAACATCCATCTTGTTTATATGTGGATGGTGGGCGTGGGGATTTCTGTGACCACAACATCTATCACCAAACAATGGCAACAATCAAATCCTTGCTGTGGTCAACCGAACAAAATTAGTCCTTGGTGAGGATGTTGGTTGTGATCGTGCTTTTCAAAATGTGAGGTGGATGGCGCCTTCATCAATAACATAATAAGCATGCCGACAGTTGAGAATCACCAATGCCTATCGTCTATCAGCATGGGGAATTAGGAAGCTCCAATAAATGGAACGTGACCACGGGGACAAAAGGCGTCTTGATACGATGACGCAAATGATCCAATCTCGCTTTTCCAACCTTGAATATCTTTTCTATTCCCCCTTCCAATCCAGAAACCAACCAAGTGATCCACATCTCGCACATATGAGCTGATAGTATAATACCCTTCTAAACATCATGCTGAATCCAATTTTCATTCAATAATAAAGTCGAAGAATAGCATATGGTAGCGTGGATGTTTATCAAGTAGATAGGATAAAGGAACAACATTGCAAATTGAGTAAGATACGGGGAATGATAACGTAGAGACAACAGGGATAATTGTGACATTGTGTACTTGGTTGCTGCCGTCATGAGCATCCTTCATCCATGATTGGAAAATAGCTGCTGCATGCATTGACGCAAGTATTCCAATACCATCCATGGCTGTCAAAGATCAAGCCTTCTCGTCAATCCCACTCGATCCATCATCACCCTCAGCCGTATCCACGCGACATGATCCATCATTCCTGCTGACAGCGCGCCGAGTAACCAAAGTAACGTTCCAGGGTTTCCAGTGTTTGCATCCAATCATCCATAACCGAAAAGACCTCTGTGATCGCTGCTGATACGCTTTCCTTTTCGTATCCGGCTGCTGGTATCTCCCTTTCTCGATCATTCCTATCGCAGCTCAACCAGGTGAAGATCGCTTGTATTGCGGCACACTCGATAGCTGACATGGAACCCCATCCATAGGAATCCATATGTATTGAGGCCAAGTTGTTACACGTAAATAAAGCTGCTTGTGTACAATGACTAGCTGCTGTTCACGTAGAAAACGGCTGCAAGAAACTTGAGACAATGGAGTAAAGACGTTGCTAATGGCAACTGCTGGTGTGTTTGGTCGTGTAGAGAACGGTACAAGAACGTGTGCTGTAGTAGAGTGACAAGATTGTGAACGCTGTATGAGGCATTGCAATAAAGATCTTGCTAATAGCAACTGCTGGAACGAACGCTGTTATGATTGCTCGTTGCAGAGGAGTGTACAAGAGAAGCTGTAGTGCCATAGAAACGCGGCTGGTGCAGTGGAGCGTATACGCCATGGACTTGCCATTCAGTCAAAGACAATCGGATCAAGACAGCTGTGGGATTGACATGATGGGTTGAAGCAGGACAATCGTTCGCAGGTGATGGTTGTACTTGAATGTGCTAGGAGTTGAGAATGGGAGGAAGAGACGGGAACCATGGAGAGGAAGACCTGGAAATCAAATAGATTTTTCTCATGTTCGATGATACTTCTGTGCATGAGCGTTTTCCAGTCAAATACTCTCGGATCATAAAAGTTGAAGGATGGACATGATGGGCTGGAGCAGGGCAATCGTTCATATGCATTGAATTGGGCAACAAAGATAATTGGGGGGAATGGGCTATCAAGTAGCAGTTTACATGATGGATGATACTTCTGTGTGTGAGCGTTTTTCAGTCAAATCCCATCGGATCAAGAAAGTTTAATGATGGAAATCATGAGCTGGAGCAGAACAATCGTTCATATGCATTGGGTTGGGTGACAATGGAGAATGGGAGGACTGGGTTATTAGCTGGCTTTAGGAACTATACCTAAATAGTGTATAAGTATCATGCATCGCCCGTGCTGACTGACTCAAGTTACACAACACGCCCCTCTGCATCTTTGGCTCTATTATAGTCATACTACTTGACAATGAACAAAGACCTCTTTTCATATAGCATCACGCTTACAGCATATGTAAAACATAAAGGTGCCCGTATCTCTAAACTTTACAATCAAACGTGGGGTCTTTAATAGAACAAAGCTGCTCGGCGGGGTGAAAGCGATCTTGTGTCAAAGTATGAAGTTCATCGTGGCCATTCCCAACTTCACCCAATGTCGCCACCAGCCAAAAAATATTTTCGTCGTCGTCGAAAAAAATTCAAGAGGTCGACCCGATTCCAATTTGGCTGGTGGCGACATTGGCCAAATCTGGGATTGGCTACCTTGATCGTCAAACTTGCACACAAGGTGCTCTACTCTCCGCCGAGCAACATGGTTCTATTAAAGACCTCACGCTTCATTGCAAAGTTTAGGGATACAGGCACCTTTATGTTTTACATATGCTGTAAGCGTGATGTTATATGGTTTTTGTTCGTTGTCAATTAGCTAGACCCTGAGAGGCCAAAGATCCAGGAGGACCTCTTTGCGTAACTCAGCTGGTTAGGTTTAAAGGGTCAATATTTTGGTAAAGATGCATGAAGCAGCTCTATCCACTACACGCCTACAGTAAGTTCCGCCTATGGTAGTCCTATGGAATGGGTTGTCTTATATAAAGTTGCATAGGACAGCGTTAGCTGGTGGAACTTGTCGTAGGTAAGTATGGTATTTTCATGTACTCATCAACCGCATTGTCATTATCTTCAAAATCATAGGCTGCCAAAGATAATACCCATCACGTTTGATATATACAGAGCAAAGTACTACATGTATTAGAAATGAAAAAATTATTGGATGGAACAACGGAATGATGGTGGAGGTGATGATGTGGATGATGGTGGGGGTGATGATGTGGATGATGGTGGAGGTGACGATGTGGATGATGGTGGAGGTGACGATGTGGATGATGGTGGTGGTGATGATGTGGATGATGGTGGGGGTGATGATGTGGATGATGGTGGAGGTGACGATGTGGATGATGGTGGTGAAGATGGATGTTGTTGTTGTTGTTGTTGTTGTTGGCCTTGCTCTTCGACCCGAGTGGTCTCAGAATTTTCATCATCATCATCATCATCATCGTCAGAGCCATCGTTGCAATAATAGACGGTGTAAAATGTGCAGTGTTTTGCGTTGATTACTACACGAGTAAAGAAAAGTGAACAAAAAATACCATAAGAATCATCCAACACTTACTCTCCATTGTTGTTGTGTGAAAGAAAGGTGCTGGAATAATTCTTGGACAACATTCTTTTTTATACATACGAGTGTCAATGACGTTGTGCTTTGCATCATGCTATCACCCGATGTCATTCACCCCGCACACACACACACTGAAAATGATCAAATCCATGTACCCACCTATCATATTCTACACGCCATGAATGGCATTCGATTTATAACTTGATACGTGCCTTTTGCTTCTGAAAAAAGGGGAGGGATGTCTTTAACCACGTATATGCACGCGTGCGTATACCCATGTCAATCGAAACTTTGTTCACATAAGACACCTTTATTCGTATGGCACAAGGTACACACATATCATGATGGGCTACATTTATTAGCTAGCATCTCCTTTCATAGGCTACGTGGATATAGCGATGAGCAATATCGAAGGGTAGATGGCATATAAAGAGCATCGATTGAAATAAACGCAAGCATTGAAATACAAATTGGCAACATAAACAAAAGCTGTACCACTTTAGGATAAAGGCGGATGGAGTTTATTCGTGCATATCCCTTTGAGCTGACTATCCAATGATCCATCCATGCAGAGGGAAATGCAAGAGCTTGGTGATGTTGGCGTATCATCTCCTTGTCGTTACCCCAAGAGCCATGTGAAAGTGATGGCGGAAGATGTCTCCAAGCCCTGTTGAGGTGGTTGTATAATGTCAGGTGGTAATCCAAAGGATCATCCTTGTCGTTACCCCGAAAAGAGACGGTGGAAGATGGTTGCATAATAAATCCATACACTTGCTCCTGATGATGCTGCTGTCTTTGTATGGTTGCATAAGCGTGCAAGCGTATTGTAAGATCATTATCCCATAAGCTGTTGAAAATAACTACGCTCCTTGCATAACCAAGCGTAGAAGGATCATCGTCTTGTAAACATTAAACCGTCAAAGCGAATTGCTGTCAGCTGCTGCAAACTTGAAGGTATCGAGCATGTTGTATTTCACAAATGATCCTTAGCTGCAAGAGGATCAATAGTACAGGTGTGATGTGTTGCTGATGACGTCGTATCGAGTGGTGATGAACACAATGAAGAATGAGCTAGATGACGGGATGAATTGATATAGGGTGCTGGCTGATGATGACTTGGGTCCATTGTATCCGGAGCTGATGAAATGACGATGGTACATGATCAGAATGCGAGGTCATTGTTGCATTTGTTGTGGTTTCATTATTGGTTTCCATCAATCAATCGAATACTCAGAACTGCTGCCGTGCATCCAATCACCAAATTTGTCGGCTGTGGTTCCTGATACTCATGATTGATCTCCTCATTGTCTCATCCACAAGCAGCTCTCCCATCTTTCTTCTCTTGAAATGATCCATATCCATTGGCAATCAACCATCATCGCTGTCGTCGCGTATCCAAAAGCACATCCAAGCGTCAGGTCCGATCTTCATGTATGTACTCCTTTGCCACAGCCAACCTTGGCGATTTGAATCATGTGCCGCGATCCTTCAAGTGGAATGTTGAGTGATATGGTAGTACGTGAGTGCAATGTTGAGGATGTTGAGGTCAAATACGAGGGCCGCCTTCTAAGTTGCAGCATTGTCTGGTAAGGTAGAACCGGTGTGTGGTACAATAACATTCTTGACGTGCTAGTGACATAACCGAGGGAAAGCCTCTTGATCCTGTTGTCATTACACACCTTCCATCGTAAGCGCACTTGCATGTGATACATCCCATCCCATAATGAACACGCTTACCTTGGATGCTTCTCATAGCACCCTTGTCTCAAATAAAACCGTATCTCCATGTCATCCATATCGTACTGCTGCTGTTTCACTGTAAGGCCCGTTAATCAACAAGTCTTGCGTTGTGGATCCAATACCATGCGTACCATTTTGAGTCAACGTATAGCAGTCTTGTTGCTGCCACAGGCACCATAATCAACGTATCCAAGCTACAATAAATGCAATGTAAGATAACAAGGACAGCATCCGCTTTTCGTGTAGACATACCCAAAGTAACAATCTCGTTGATGACAACCATAAGAATACAGACGACACACGACGCCCACTTTGGACCTTGTATAAGCGAGAGAACAGAAAGCTACATGTAATCTTTAGTATCTCAACGTCCAACTTGAATAATAAAGCAATGCAGCCATTGAACGTACTTGTTGTAGTATTACAATGAGAGCTTGAGTCATGGGTAGATTGCACGCGTACTTGTTGTTGAATGTCTGCAACTGGAAAGTGTTGCCGTTGACCACATGTTCACCCCAATTGACGCTGTACATTGTAAGGAATGCCAGCCGTTAATGCGTTGTAGTTTGTAAATGGAGACAAGCTTACCTTGCTTTGTAAAGTGGGAGTGAAGAAAGAAGGGGTTCTTTGTTATTCCTCTCAGTGTTCCCAATTTGTGCATTACGCGCCACCCCGCTTGTTGCTACGTACAGCTGCTGTTGTGAAGATGTACCTCAACAAAAGCCTATGCACTTGGATCAATAACAACGACCGTTACTCGAGATTGGAATTGAACACATTCCTTGTAATTTAAGCTATACATCATTCTCCTGTGGCGGGATTGGCGTCTATCAAGTCCGTGCGCTCTTATAACTTATGCAGATCAACTCCTGGATTTGTGCAGCTAATGCATGACTCCCCTACCAAACATACAAAATGCTCCTGCATAAGTTCATTGTCATTGTCATAATGAATAGATTTTTCATTATTGGATTCTGTTTACTTACGTACCTTCGCAAAAGGCAATCATCATCATCATCCATTTGTGCAGCAACCTGTCAAGGACGTGTCTGTGTAACCACCACGTGCCATTTCACTCAGCTCTCCATCTTTCCGTTAATGCAGCCGACACCATCCACTAGGAAAAAGCAACTCCATCACGCTTACAGCATAGGTAAAACATGAAGGTGCCTGTATCTCAAAGCTTTACAATCAAATGTGGGGTCTTCAATATAATCATGTTGCTCGGCGGGGTGTGTGCACCTTGTGCGTTGGGTGGAGTCGATCGAAGAGGCTTGTTGACGTGTTATGACGTACTTGGCATGCTTGCTTAAGTCCATGCCTCTCACCACTCGTCATAGTCGCCGGCCACGTAATATGATCAACACTGCACCTTCATCGTCGTCATTGCCTTTTTCACAGCCGTCCCTGTCCCAAACCCAAATATACATAGCACACTACCACCCTACCACCACCATGATCATCATCATCGTCATTATCATCATTATCATCGCTGCTATCTTCGTCATCAGTTACAAAAATCCACATCCACATCAATACCCACCTTTCTTTGTTGTCAAACACGGCTTTAATAAATGATAGCTTCATCACTAATATATCACACACTCTGCTTAAGTGCATTCCCTCCTCTTTTTCACCATGACGAAATATAATACAATAGAGTAAGCATGAGTAACTACTAAGAATTAAGCATGAATATAGGTCTATTTATTTTTGCTTTCGCTTAAAGCCGCGCTTTGAAATGGAAATAGCAAAGTGCTTAGTGGTTTCCTGATACCATTGTTGTAAAGGACAATCTCCTTGGTATCTGCCTGGCTCAGGTTGCCAAGCTGTGACCAATGGAAATGGCTTGGGAAGAGGAGGACTTCAATACCATATAGGTAGACCAGCCAAATCAGGGTACGCCCACCATTGTTAACCTTTGTGGTAAAGGACTCAGATGGCTCCTTACCCTTTTGAAAGACTGGTGATAAGCTATTTCGTAAGAAATTAGCATACACTTGCAAAGGATAAATAGTATGCTTGATCTCGTAATCATCCTTGTCTTCAACATCTACCTTATTCTTGACCTTCAGGTGACGTGAGCTATTGATCACACAGAACAAAATAGCCTTCATATTCTCTAGGAATGCTGCAGTTCCTGGGGTCACCATTCCAGCAACAGTCAATGAATCAAGGTCCCTTGTATGATACCATGTGATATCTTCGAGCTTCGCATCAATCAAACCAGGGAAAAGCTTTAAATTGGTAAGCTCATTCCTTAAAAGCCCACAGATGGCTTCATCCACCTCCTGAACAGGACCTTGATGTGCAAGAAAGGTATAAACTAAAGGGGGAAAAGAGAAGATTAATACTGATAGAAAGAAACAGTAGCAAATCCAATACTTACAGCGAGTTTTCTTCTCACTTTCAGGGACCTCAGGGACCTCAGGACTAACCTTGCGCTTCTTGACTTGAGGCTGTGCATGGTAATAGAGAGGAGCTGGGGGACTATCCACATTTGGTGGGCAAGGGGCCAAAGGATGGACCAGTGCTTGATGAGTGGATGGCAACTCAGGAGCAGGGAGATTAAACTTCAGTTGCTAAATGGAAGCGATATAAAGCCAAAAGAGTTTTGTGGGTAATGTAAAACAAGCAGCAAAGCAAGCAAAAGATTATACATGAAAGGCCAAGTGAGGTGTGATGTGATGTTACTATACTACAAGGTGAATGATATGGAATGTGAATGTCGTTATACAATGCTCGACGTGTACAAAAAAATCGTTGCTGTGATATATGGAGATAGAGTGTGTGTGTGTATGTGAGCTGTAAAGCGAGATGGATAACGAAAATGTCCGTGAGACTAAGAGAAAGGACGCAAATTTTATTTTTGGATGACTACGCGTTGTGTATATAGATGTGATGATGCAATCATGCTGAGTGTGAAAGATGATGGGGATTAGATCTTCAGAATACGAAAAAAATGGTCGTTGTTGCATGAATTATCCAGCGGTACGCATGATTGTTTGCTCAGCTCCTTCCATAAATCGATCCAAATTCCATAGAAACATACTCTTCTTGTTGAATCATGTATATGGCCTCGATAATCTTCTTCCGTTTACTAAAACATTTTCGCTCTAAAAAACACATGTGTTAGGCACAGTGTTGTGTGATTGGAATTGCGATGGATCAAGACCTACCTTTGGTACTGCCTCGCTATTTTGCATGATACTTTTTTCCCACTCTTCGATCCTTTCATCATCACCATAACCACATGTCTGATATCCATCTTGGCATGAATCGATGCAATTCGGGGTCGTGAAATAGATCATGATTGAATAGACTCCAACAAAGCAAACCGGGAAATGTGCGCAACACCCTTCTTGTATAATTTGCCTTCATGTACAAAGAATCCTTGACTCATTTTCCGGATCTTGTCCCGATCTCGTTGCCCAAAATGCCGAGGTAACTTCAAGCTTGACAAATACAAGACCAACGCTTGGTAAAGCCCAACATCAAAACCTCCCCATGAGGCATTGTACATGACAACCACTTGAAGAAATATCACACGTAACTTTTGTAACAAAAGTAAAAAGCCTTGAGCGCAAATGGTTTGGGGCATCCATCGCCAAATTCAACAAGACCCAACCAGTATTCAACTTTGTGGCCATCAGCGGCGGAAACCGTTCATTGTCCTTATCACTCATTTGCTCGTCGAAAGTCTTGCTATACACCACAACATCGAGATACACGTTGATAGCATCTCTGAAAACGGTATCATAGCACTCTTCCAAGCACCTGGACTGTCCTTAAGACCCATAGCAAGCCTTGTCCATCTCCATTGCGAATAGCCTCCACAATTCACGACAAATCCGGTCAAGTCTCATGACTCTTCATGTAATTGCAACTGCCAGAGCCCCTTTAAAGCACTTCGCATCGCCCAATCTTGTAAAAAGCTCATGTATGTTTTGGGATCGGATATCCAGAATCAACCGTAGCAGCATTGACCGGTTTGTAATTGAATACCAATCGATAAGGATCCTTGGCACCTAAGCAATCTTGCTGGTCTTGATCCCTTACGTCTTCAACGCCCTTACGCCTCAGCATGTTCAATGGTTCCATCAACAAAGAGAAATGCGGTAAAAAGCGGCGACAATACTGGAGAGATCCAATGAAACGTGATAATTCCTCCTTGTCTTGCGGTATGGGCCAATTGATAACCTTCACCACCTTCTTGTCAAGCATCTCGAATCCACCCTTTCCCACTTGGCTAGAGAGCAGATCGACAATTGCACTGATGTGTTGGCCAATTGATGAATAACTTAGTGGATACGGGCTGCCATCATGTTGTTGCATTTTGGGATCAAGGAAGCAGTATTAACCATCTTCGTATTCTTCTTTCAATTCATACACCAATGCTACATATCATCAGACGTTTAGTTATCTTGAACAATATCACTGTATCCATGATCCACTAACCTTAAACTGTTGCTGCTAAGGGGTATCTGTACCTTTGGGCCGAATACGATGATTACTGGTCTTCTGGTATGTGGCATCAAGGTGTGAATATGCCTCTACTCATGGATGAGGTGGATGTGTATTTGCAACTGAAGACAAAGATGGCATCGGAAACGGCAGCAATGATGACGATGATAATGGATGATGGATGATGATGATGGTGTTGTGTTGTCTACGTTTGGAGTTGTGGCCGAGGACAAGGACGGCAGTAAAAAAAGGCAATGACAACGATGAACGTGTGGTGTGGACAATATTATGCGATCGACAACAACACAATGGGAGGCATCGTCTAAAGCAAACAGTGTCAGGTACGTCACGTCAATGTCTACGTGTCTCCATGGCAACGACCCAACGCTTACAACAAAGACTAAAGTGGAATCTGATGGATGGATGACTTGAGGAGATACAAAGAAAGTCAAGCTGCCGTCATGAGGAAGACACCACTAGAACACAGGCATCGATGTGTGAAGTAGGTAGGTAGGTTTTTGTACAGAGCAAGAGGTTATAAAATGCGTGGAGCGGAGCACTCCCGCGCTCATTCAAGACGAACAATGGATTATTTTGAGTCGGGTCACGAATAAGCGGTGTGAATCGGTTCAGTGATCCAGCCACGGGCCTCCCATTTATCGACCAAGTTTAGAGATACAGACACATTTATGTTTTACATATACTCTATAAGCGTGATGCTATATGAAGAGTGGCTTTTGTTCATTGTCAAGTAGCTAGACCCTGAGAGGCCAAGATGCAGAAGGGCGTGTTTGTATAACCCAGCTCGTTAGGTAGACCTGGAAGGGTCAACCCATTGGTGGAAAGATGCATGATGCAGCTCCATCCACTATACGCCTACAGTAAGGTCCGCCTATGATAGCCCTATCGATGGTTTGTCTTATATAAGGCTGCATAGGATAGCGTTAGCTGAAGTTTGCCTTAGGTAAGTATGGTATATCCATGTACTCATCAACCCCATTGTCATCATCAAAGATAATACCCATCACTTTTGATAATATATGCAAAGCAAAGTATGACATGTATTAAAAAAATGAAAAAAAATCATTGAGTTGGAGGAGGGGATAATGTTGGTGGCGGCGATGATGCGGATGGTGATGCAGATGGCGGAGGAGGAGATGAGGGAGGATTCTGTTGTTGTTGTTCGACCCACTCTCTCGTACGGCGGCTGGCCTCAGTGGTCGAATCAATCTTTGGCGTATTGTGATCGTCATCTTCATCGTCAGAGCCATCATTGTAGTTGATGATATAGAAGGTACAGTGCTTTGGATTAATGACTACACGAGTAAAGAAAAGTGAACAAAAAGTGCGACAAGGGCCATCCAAGCACTTACCCTTCATGATGGAGTGAAAGAGAGATGCTGGGGTAATTCTTGGACAACATTCTTTTTTATACATACGAGTGTCAATGACGTTGTGCTTTGCATCATGCTATCACCCGATGTCATTCACCCCGCACACACACACTGAAAATGATCAAATCCATGTACCCACCTATCATATTCTACACGCCATGAATGGCATTCGATTTATAACTTGATACGTGCCTTTTGCTTCTGAAAAAAGGGGAGGGATGTCTTTAACCACGTATATGCACGCTTGCATATACCCATGTCAATCGAAACTTTGTTCACATAAGATACCTTTATTCGTATGGCACAAGGTACACACATATCATGATGGGCTACATTTATTAGCTAGCATCTCCTTTCATAGGCTACGTGGATATAGCGATGAGCAATATCGAAGGGTAGATGGCATATAAAGAGCATCGATTGAAATAAACGCAAGCATTGAAATACAAATTGGCAACATAAACAAAAGCTGTACCACTTTAGGATAAAGGCAGATGGAGTTTATTCGTGCGTATCCCTTTGAGCTGACTATCCAATGATCCATCCATGTAGAGGGAAATCCAAGAGCTTGGTGATGTTGGCGTGTCATCTCCTTGTCGTTACCCCAAGAGCCATGTGAAAGTGATGGCGGAAGATGTCTCCAAGCCCTGTTGAGGTGGCTGTATAATGCCAGGTGGTAATCCAAAGGCCCATCCTTGTCGTTACCCCGAAAAGAGACGGTGGAAGATGGTTGCATAATAGATCCATACACTTGCCCCTAACGATGCTGCTATCTTTGTAAGGTTGCATAAGCGTGTAAGCCTATTGTAAGATCATTACCCCATAAGCTGTTGAAAATAACGTTCCTTGCATAACCAAGCGTAGTAGGATCATCGTCTTGTAAACATTAAACGGTCAAAGCGAATTGCTGTCAGCTTCTGCAGTATTTCACAAATGATCCCCAGCTGCAAGAGCGTCAAGAGTACCGGTGTGCCGTGTTGTTGATGACGTCGTAGCGAGTGGTGAATGTCGAGGACCTTGTGATCATCATCTTCCCACATTTTCTGGTAAGGTAGCATCATCCAAAATGGATCTCGGTGTGTCGTACAGCCTTCAACTCGAGCATGCATGATCCATATTGTAAAATCCTTTGGCCAAGTAAATGAGACGCTGTATATAACCCTCGGCCGCATTCCTGCTGACGACATGAGAAGTAAGCACCGTAGCATTCACCTTGACGGCATCCATCCATACCTCCCATACTGTGCCTGAAGCAGCCATAGAGTTGCCGCTCATACTATGCATTGCAAAGATCGCTTGTATTGACGTATACTTGATAATGGATATCAATGGCACCATCCGCCTTGAGCATAATGTAATAGGATCCCACTAAACAATATACATTGTTATCATCTATCACTTTCCAAGTAGAGTGATCCATTCGCTTTTTACCTGGGTGAACAACCTCCTGTAGTAGGCTGCTGTTTGGATAACGGCTCGTAAAAGTTGAGACGATATTGCTCGAAGCATGACCAAAGTTGTTGTGGGAGATAGATGCTGCTATCGTCAACATGCTGTAGTATCACGCCGGGAAAACCACCCCTCTTGGAACCTGTTGCTCGTCGTCATCAAGCTTGAAAAAGAACTCCAACTCCAGCAACATCCCAGGATTTCTCATTACTGCCCTTGATTGCATCCATCCATAACCATTGCAAATCCAATACGTTGATTGTTATCGCTGCTGATATGCTTCCTTTTCTCGATCACTTTTTCCAACGCATCTCAACCAGGCGAAGATTGATTGTATTGCAGTGTAGTTGATAGCTGATATGGCACCCCATCCATGAGATCCATATGTATTGAAGCAAGTTGCTACACGTAAATAAAACTGCTTGTGTACAATGGCTAGCTGCTGTTCACGTGAAAAAGGTTGCAAGACAAGTTGTTGCAAGTAAAGAGGCTGCTTGAGACAATGAAGACCTCGCTAATAGCAACTGCTGGAATGAATGCTGTTACGTTTGATTGTGGTCGAGGAGTGTGCAAGAGAGCGTGCAGTGTCAAAAGACCCGTGCGTTGTAGAAGAGTGACAAGAAAGCTGCGTACACGCCATGGAGTTGCCCATTCAGTTGAAGGCAATCGGTTCAAGACAATTGCAGGGTTGACATGATGAGTTGAAGCAGGACAATCGATCGCAGGAGGTAGTTGTACACTTGAATGGACCAACGGTTGAGAATGGGAGGAAGAGGAAAGGTGGAAGAAGTGGACATTAAATAGGTCGGGCACCTCTTGTATAAATGCATGAATACTTACTGTACATCAAATCCTTGATATTGAGATTGCCCCTCTCGAACCTGAAACTTTCACACAATGTGCTCTGGGACATGCTGATCAACATTGTTATCATAAAGCCACCACGATTCATTATGAACATTTCGAGAAGCAGGTACCTTCATGTTTTACCTATACTGTTGAATAAGCGCGATGGCGCTGTTTGCTACTAATTGATTGTGCCGAGAATACTATAGGCAAGAGGTGGTGGTTACATGCGTCGTTGACAGGTTGCTATCTGAATGGGATGATGGTTGCCTTTAGAAAGGTATGTAAATCAAGTTACCATACTAACTCAGCAAAATACAACACCAACAATCGATGTTACTAGTGGATCGGGGCTGCATCATCGTCATGGCCTAATGCGTATGTATACTAAAAATCTTGACAACATACGTTACGTTGAATGGTAATAGAGGGCGTCAGCGTTAATGTGCCCTATATAGGGAAGAGTAACACAGCTCGAAAGTTACATATTGTATGCGAGATCACCACTTGGATCGATAAAAACAACTCAAGCAATAGGGAGGGAAAGCAACAGGGATGCTTACAACATAGTTGGCAATGAATGGATTTTGCATCCTTAGCCTATTATCCGCGCCAACCTTGCTAAATAAGAGGCGCTCTACAATGTCGTTGATTACTCAGAAAGAGCGATCACGTTGGTCTATTGTTAATCCATCGACCAATGTACAAGCAACCTGCCAATGTATTATACCCACGATGGATGTAGCAGTAGCACAAAGATAGGGACAGCCACGTAGCTAGTTGACATTACAAATTTTCGATCTTCATGTTGTATCTTAATTATATTACAAAAAGCATGGTGACTATTACAATTCTTTTTACACAAGCTCTACAATGCAGCTTAAGCCGTAGTGGTCTATGCATCGATGTGTAAGCCCAACCTTGTGTCAAAAGAGGATCCATTTTCACTTACCTGAAATCTGGGTGAAGGGGATGGCTTCACGTTCGCTGGTGTCAAGCTCCTTGTTATCCTTTGTGAGGAACTTTTCGACTGTAATGTTATGCACTGCCACATCATGTGAGTATCGATCAGCCCACAGAATGCGATCAATGCTTTGCACCGTCAAAAGTTGATCCCAATGGGTGAGCACGGTTTCGGCGGGTATTAAATCATCCCCTTTTTGTGCTGTTGCATTTCTCACAAAGTCACCAAATGTAACAGGATGGTATCCAAATTGCTGGTATGCAACGTCGTGCAAGGTGTCAATACGCCAATCTGGGTCCGAGTACATGGTTTGATTATCGATTTGAATCCCTGTGCCGTTCAAGACTTGCATCATCATGGTATAAGCTTGTGAGCTGGCCACAGAAGGTTTTCGTTTATCCTCATCCTTGTGGGCAGCGGCATCAATGTTGAGATCACCCATGATCAATACTGGGCTGCCATCATCCCTTGCCGTGTTGCGAATAAAATCATGCACCAACGCAAATTGTGAAAGTCGTACAAGGGTATCCTCTTGATTAAGCGCACCTGCTTCATCATACGATGCTTGCGTATGGGTCGTATACAAATGCACTGTGCGTGTCGCATTGAGTTGTACCAACGCATGCAATGCACCTTTTTTGGATAGCCAATCGGCATGAATACCCCGTGGAAATTCGAGTGTGTCGGCTTGCTTGATAGGAAATCGCGACAAGAGCAATAAACCACCATCCGCTGCAAGTTCCCATGGGTAATGTCTTGGCGATGCGACTTGATAGTTGAAACCCAAGTTGCGAGCTTCCACAGCTAAACGATCAATGCGACGATTGGCAAAGGCAAAAGCTTCTTGAATGGTAATGACATCATAGTGTGGCAAGATGTACTTGATAATATAATCCAAACGTTGTTCCTTGTAATCCGACTTGTTGTTCTTGACCCCTGGTGGTCGCATGAAAATATTCAGTGTCAGGAACCGCGCTGTGGAATTGGTGGATTTGTCGGGCAATGTAGGTGGTGGTAATTCGGCAGGTCGAAAGTAAAAGTAACCAAATAGAAAATAGCTGATGGTGCTTATCAGCAAGAAAATTAAACAGCAACAAAGCGTACAACGACTACTACTCGTACTACGGCGACGACCAACAGATGATTTGGTTTGCCCTTTTCTTTTCAAGAGTGACTCGAGTCGCTGTCTCCAAGACAATGTCCTTTTCCTCGCGTTGCTATGACTACCGCCACCACCACTACTACTCGCTAAGAGAGGGGCGTCGTCGTCGTCGTCGTCATGGAAACGATCCGGGTTGAAAATGGACTCATGCCCGTCATGGTCGTCATGGAATTTATCGGCATCGAGCAATTCCAGTTCTTCCTCGTCAAAGCGATCTCTCTCGCGGCGCATACTTGCAACAAACCCTGTTGTTGGATGTAAAATGTTTATTCCCGATTATGTATGTGAGGGGAACTGGGTATATTATTCACCCGTGGTCTCCGGCATCTCATTCCCGATGAATTATTATGAAATGCAGTATCCATGTTGGAAGAGGAGGATGGCAAGTACACTATCTATCATCACTCATTTGTGGTAAAAAGGGAAAAAGGGCTAATCCAGCTGACCTACTCACGGGGGTGGACTTTTTAATCCACCATTTCTCCTAATAACAAATATGCGCCTCCTTCTTTTCTCTTTTTCTTTTTTTTTCAACTCGCTCTTTTTGTATACATGGAACAACATCATCAGCTACCAGGGAGTTTCTATTCAAAAAAGGACGATTCAGCAGCAGCAGCAACATCCAATTTACCGCTTGCTATCATATCATCCGTACTTTTTCCACATGCTGAAAGTTTTCTACTATGTGGTGGTGATACGACTCTAAGCGGTGGTGGTGGTCGTGGTGATGATGGGTCCACAAATTTGCCTGGTGCATGGACACAAGAGAATAGCAGCATATTAGACGAGCAACAAGATGATCCACCCAATACTGAATCGATTGCTGAGCTACGTCGTACGGTGGAGCAACTTCGAAAGCGAGCTGAGCAATTAGAATATGCTGATAAGATGGTCAAGAAGGGCATTCAAGTGGTAGCACAGAAACGTGTTCTTGTACAGCAAAAATCGACATGGGACTGGTGCGATACAAGTGGCGGTAGTGACCAAGAACAGCAGGATCATCAGCTGCAGGATCAAGTGGGTCCCGTGACAGATGAAACAACTGATGGCTGGGTGTGGGTAGAATCGCATCGTGTGGCTGCATGAATCATCCATCCCGTATACATAGCTTGCACATATTTATACATATATACATATCAACATGAATGTAAAGTACACAACAATGACTTGTTTGTCGTATGCAGTGCTTTTGAAAAGAGGAATACGTCATCTTTATGTAGAGGTGTAATAGTAGTAGTAGTAGTAGGGGGAGGTTGAATAACATAGATAACGTAATGGGTTATATATGTGCAAAGAGGGTAAAGTGATATATATCCATGCATGGATGGCAGTAAATAGTGGTTGTGTTATACAGCAGCAGAGCTGAGTGTAGCAAGGGATTAAGTTGTGTCGATCGGAGGACTCTATATCTTGACGTTGTACACAACTTCAATTGTTATTTAGAAGCTCGCTCATCCCTGCATCTCGTTCATTGCAAAGCTGTCGTTCCAAGCAGCTCCCTTTATTTGACGAATTACACAGCAACCATGAAGTATGTCCAGGTGTGCAAAGCACTCTACGACTATGAAGCTCGCACTGTCGACGAAATCACCATCCATGAGAACGATGTCTTGTACGTTATCGAGAAGGAGGACGATGAATGGTGGAGAGCCGAGTTAAAGTCATCAGACGATTCGCCCCATATTGGTCTTGTGCCAGCCAACTATCTCGCCGAGGTATAAAAGTGAAGACACCTTGTTTGTTCATTCGAGACTAATAGCGCTGGTTATAGTGGGAACCTGTTGGTGTTGTGCGTGCTGAATATGACTATACCGCTCAGCATGAAGAGGAATTATCGTTTCATGAAGGAGATGAGATGCTGGTGCTCGAGAATGATGATCCGGATTGGCTTCTTGTAAAGCACAAGCATACCAATGATGTGGGATTGGCTCCAAGCAACTATGTTCAAGATGCTACTACTACCGCCGCTGCTGCTGCTGCTGCACCACCCGCTACGACGACTACTTCTACCCCAGCAGCAACAGACCACGTTACACAAAGCCCCGTGCATGATGATGCTCACATAGACGACACTCCTTCAGCACCTACGCCTCCATCCTTATCAGTGGACACATCACGTCAGGTAGGTAAAAAGGAATCGAGTCGATAAAGTGATGCTAATTAACCCATTCTTTTTATGTATTAGGCTGAAATAGCAGCAGAGGATGATGCTCAATCTTGGCTTGTGCACGAATATGATCCCGTCAAAAAGAAGAAAAAGAAGAGCAAGGGCAATCTGCTTGTGGGAACAGGGATGCTATGCTATGGAAGTGAGACTGATAAGGCTTTGCCGGTTCAACAACATCCCATCTTGGACGTGACAAAGTATCTTTTCGATGGCAAAACCTTGCATATTGAGATTGGTGGTCAACAACCCAGTGAGCTACATCTTCAAGCATCCTCAAAGTCTGAAGCAAAAGCAATCATGGTCAAGATTTCAGATTCACGTACAATCGCTCAAAAGGCCGGTGTTCGTGTTGCTCCAGAATCATCAATCGCTTCGCCCCAACAACAACAACAACAACAACAGGACCATGAACCAACCCCAGTCATGCCACCACGTCCAACAGCGGCAGCAGCAGCAGCACCTCCACCTCCAGAACCTGAATCACGCCATGCAATCATCATGTATACATTTGCAGCAGAAGGGGGTGATGAGATATCCGTTAATGAAGGTGATCATGTGACCGTATTGATGGATGATCGTCAAGATGGCTGGTGCACCATTCGAACTCAACATGGTGAACAAGGCATTGTACCAGAGACCTATGTGGAAATGCAAGATCATGATAATGATGCACCAACAACCATCAATGAGCAGCGACCTTCCATACCAGATCCTTCACAAACGATGGCTATGCAAAGGCAACGTGAAGAGGAACTTCGACGACGACAACAGCAAGAAGAAGAGGAACGTGCACAGCGAGCTCGAGAACGACAAGAAGAAGAGGAAAGGCAGCAAGCAGCCAAGAGAGAACAAGAGGAAAATGAACGTCGACGAAAGCTTCAGGAGGCTGCTCAAAGAGCTGAAGTAATGAGACAGCGTCAATTACAGCAAAGCAAAGCAACGGTGAGTTATCTTTGAATGGTTATATGTATCCAACATGTATTCATTGTTTGTTTCCATAGCAACCATCATTGCAAAGAGCACCTTCTTCAGCAGCTCGATCACAATCGTCAGCACGTGTACAAGATTTACAGAGTAAGTGGATTGTATGGATACGATTCTCATTGACTAATGCATTGTATAGAGCCTGATTTCGATAGAGTACGAACGTGGACCGATCGTAGTGGTGCGTTTCGAGTCGATGCCCAATTTTTGGCGTTCTATGATGGCAAATTCCGTTTACACAAGACCAATGGTGTCAAAATTGATGTCCCTATGGATAAGATGAGCACACAGGATGTGCAATGGGTGGAACGGAAGTTGGGACGTAGTATCAGCAAAGGACGTACTGGATCGACTATTATCCAAGATGATGATGACGCACCTGTAATGCCTCCACGACCTAGTGCAACTACTGCTACTGCTACGCCATCGACACCACCACCTGCTGCTGCTGCTTCTTCATCCAGCAACACTGTTGCCGAACAACCCAAGCCAATCTTTGCCAAAAAGGAGCCAAAGAAAGTGAACCGAGCGTGGGATTGGTTTGATTGGTTTATGATGATTGGCATTCCAATGGAGGCATCACTCAAGTATTCAGCGAGTTTTCAATCGGATAAGCTTGATGACAGTGATATTCCCAATCTCACCCACAAGAGGATCAAAATGCTTGGTGTCTCTGAAAAGCATACCCGCCGAATCGAGCGATACATTGAAACAGAAAAGGTGGAACCTCTTTCGGATGAAGAAGGCAATCAAGATGAAACGAATCAACGTAATGCAGAGAATGATGATGAGGCATTCGCAAGACGACTTCATCGTGAATTGAATGGTGCGGATGCTGCTGGTTCTTCTTCTTCAGCTCCTGTGCAAGGTATATTTGATTACACGAAAGGATAGAATGAATCATTAATGCGTTTTATTCATGCAGCTCAACGTCCATCAGAACCTGAAAAGAAGCAACCACCACCACAACCAGCTATTCATCCTGATTTGGTCGATTTTGTTGGCACTCAATTTACAGGAGCTCCCGCTGAACAACAAAAGCAACCTCAGAAAGCTGCAGGTGATTTGATTGGATTTCAAGATGATGCTTGGGCTCCTCGCGATACATCATCGAATTCTCCTTCTCAACCAGCCGCTGTCGAGCAACCACAACCCCCGCAACCACCACAGCAGCAGGCATCTGCCACTGGTGGAACCACGATTACCAATGCTAGACTACAGCAACAAATCCAAGAGCTACAACAGCAACAGCAACAAAAGCTTCAACAAGAACAGCAGCAACAAATACAACAGCAATTGCAGCAACTACAACAGCAACAGCAACAGCTTCAACAGCAGCTTCAAGAACAACAGCTTCGACAACAACAACAACAGCAGCTACAAGCTTCTCAAATGGTTCAACAAAACATGACACCACCTATTCAGCAGCAACCCCAGCCTGTGTTTTCGTCACAACCACCACCACCAAGACAGCGGCCGGTATCCGCTATCAAGCATTTGGCAGATCCTACCTTGAGTCGTTGGCAGGAGCAATCTCCACAACAATCCATGGCCCATCTCCAACAACAGCCCACGGGTTATATGAACCAACAGCAGATGATGCAACCTAATCTTACTGGTATTCAACCACCTTATCAACAACAGCAACATCAGCTACATTCTATGGCTACGGGTCCTGTATCTTCCATGCAATCACCAACATCCTTTACACAACCATCGATTCCCGCTCATCAACCAATGATGCAACCACCACAACAACAACAGCAGCAATTCCCCAACCAAACAGGTTTTATCCAGAGCCAACCTACTGCTGGTGGTCGTCATTGGCAAATAGCAAGTAAGTGTGTCTATACCTTGTGAGTGGTGGACCTATGAAACTTACTATATGTCCATTTTAGCGCCTGATAATCCTTTTGGATCACCCATGGATGCACTTTCACCTTTAAGCCCTCAACGTACGGGTGCAGTCCAATTCTCCACACCAAGCACAAGCATGTTTACGAATGCCAACTCTGTACAGGCACCACCCCCTGTTAATTATTTACAACCCCAAATGACTGGTATCCAGGCACAAATGACGGGTCTGCAACCACAAATGACCGGTGTTCCATCATCGCAGCAGCATGGTAATCATACACATTGAATGAAGAAGGGATGATGATACTAAATAAGAGATGCGTTTATTGTAGATCAATCATTTTCTGTTTTTACTCCGGAAGGATCGTTGGCTTGTATGTATTATCTCTCTATCTCTTCATAGGCTCGTTACTCACCTCTTTACTTTATAGATGGACAAACTGGATTTTCCCAACAACAACAACAGAATCGTGGATGGTAGAAATAGTCGTTATAATAAAGATGAGTCAAATTGACAACAGTGCTACGCCACCATCGAGTGTAAGTTGTGTGTATGTGTTGTGCGCAAGCTGTCATTGGGCGGTGTTTTATATCTATTATACGCTTTGGAAAAAACACACAATACACCTTTTCCACATATACACACACCCACCCACCCCCCGTCATGTCCGATCGCAAAGAAGTATTGGCACTCGAGATCCGCTCGCAAGAAGGCACCATTAAACAGTTGCGTACCAACGGTGCTGCATCTACCGAAGTCGATGCTGCTGTGGCTGTTCTCAAGGGACTCAAGCAGGAAATGGAGACCCTGACAGGCGGTTCCAAAAAGAAGGGCAAGTCCGCATTCACTTTAAAGACTCCCAAGGTAACTTGACTCCCATGGCGTCAATGTGTGGTTGCAATGAGGGGAATAGGTACTGATACATACTGCTTTGCTCCAGGGCACCAAAGACCATAATGACAAGGAAATGGCTATTCGTGAACAAGTCTTTTCGACCATTACCAAAGTCTTTAAAAAGCACGGCGCTGTCACTATTGATACACCTGTCTTTGAACTCAAGGTAATAATACTCTTTATTGACAACATTGGGGAAAAGCTAGCTAACGTGTCATTATTCTATTAGGAAATCTTGGCTGGCAAATATGGTGAAGATAGCAAGTTGATTTACGATTTGGCAGATCAGGGCGGTGAAGAATGCTCCCTTCGTTATGATCTTACTGTAAGTGACCACACCATATGATGAGGATGGCCATGAAGATTGACCAAGGAACAAACTCTAGGTACCATTTGCTCGTTTCCTCGCCATGAATGGCAAAGAGTACCAAAACTTTAAGCGATACCACATTGGCAAAGTCTATCGTCGTGATCAACCTGCAATGACCAAGGGTCGTATGAGAGAATTCTATCAATGCGTATGTATTATCAGCAACCTATATATATACATCAATAGACCCAGCTAACGGAATGTCATCCTAAAGGATTTTGACATGGCGGGTGCCTATGATCCCATGATTGCCGATGCTGAGATTCTCAAGATCCTTTGTGAGGCACTCACTGCTTTGGATATCGGTGAATACACTGTCAAGGTATGTAATTCATATGCGGTCGGTGGTGTATACACATACATGCCCACTCACTCACTTACATCTATAAGCTCAACCATCGTAAAATCTTGGATGGTATCTTCGAAGTGTGCGGTGTACCTGAGGAAAAGATCCGTCCCATCTCTTCTGCTGTGGACAAGTTGGACAAGGTAAGAAATAAAAGAGGGATCAAAGGGTTGACTAATTGATTGATGAATGGGATGTGTCATGTTTAGTTGCCTTGGGAGGAAGTCAAGAAGGAAATGACCGAAGAAAAGGGCTTGCCTGAAGATGTTGCCGATAAGATTGGTGGCTATGTCAAACTCAAGGGTGGTCGTGATTTGTTGGAGACCCTTTCCAAGGATGAAAACTTGACCAAGAATGCTAGTGCTTCTGCTGGTATTGCTGATATGGCACTTCTCTTTGATTACATGGATGTTTTCAACATTACTGGAAAGGTATGGATGGAGAGCATTGAGTGAGTGGATCGGAATGGCTCATATGTGTATTTAGATGTCATTTGATATGAGCTTGGCAAGAGGTCTCGATTATTACACTGGCATTATCTATGAAGCCGTCACTGAAAAGTCGGCTCCACCAGGTAAGGAGGAGGAGGAGTTGCCATTCATCATCAGGATGTACATGTATTCATACCTATTTTGTATGTAGCCATGACTGATGCCAAGAAGCCACAACCAAAGACCAAGCCTGGTTCGGATGAACTTGATGAGTCCACTGTGGGTGTTGGTTCCATTGCTGCTGGTGGCCGTTACGACAACTTGGTCGGTATGTTTTCGGGTACCAATAAGAAGGGCGAGCCCAATCTCAAGATTCCCTGTGTTGGTGTTTCCATTGGTGTTGAGCGCGTTTTCTCCATTTTGATGTCCAAGCAAAAGGCAGAGGATATCAAGAGCAATGAAACCGAAGTCTTTGTTATTGCTGTTGGTGATGGTTTGCTCAAGGAGCGTATGGAGATTGCCAATGATCTTTGGAACGCTGATATCAAGGCATCCTTCCTTTTCAAAAACAAGCCCAAGCTTCCTGCTCAATGGGCCGCTTGTGAAAAGGACCATATTCCTTTTGCTGTGATTATTGGCAAGGATGAGTTGGAACGTGGTGAGATCAAGATCAAGGATATGCGTTCCAAGGATGAATCTCAAGGTGGTGGTGTCACCATTGCTCGTGCTACCATGGTGGATGAGCTCAAGAAGCGTCTTTCTGGCATGTAGATTTGTACTTTTTCGCATATAAAAACAAAAGATTGCTGAACAAAAAAAAAGGATATGGATATGGATGAGTCAAATAAGGGATGTGTGTGAGCCTATTCAATGCTGCAGGATTTGTGTAGTTCGCATTTGATTGTCTTTATCACCAAAACCCATACACGGAGCATCATGAGCATTCAATTATCCCCTGAGACTTTCTATTACTAGCTGCGGTCCTTATCACACTACCAGCTAGCAAGTCGCCGTTTCATGCAAGAGGCGTTACCCACGTGCCTGATCAAGAAAACTATGCATACATGATCCGCACGCACACTCACACAATAAACGACTTTCATTGTTGCATTTTCCATTTAAAGATCATTGTTGTTGGTTGCCAGGAAACTAAAGTCATGGAGACTAAAGCCATGGAGAGTCGAGTCGAAGCAAAACCAAATGAGTCAACGTGCCTTTGAGATCAATCTCGCCGTCTATACAAACCAACATGCCATTGGAACACGTTCTACTGCGACATTGGACCTTGAATGTACCTGTTGGCACCAAGCGTGGAGCGACATGACAACGAACAAGAGTGGTGATTGACGATGAATACAACCAACCCCTCTGCAACACACACATCCTCCCACTCAATCATGATCCCCACATGCATGATCATTATACGAGTCCACAATCTAAGGCTTGTATATTTGAATTACTCCTTCCATCCTTTATTAAAGAGTTCATTTTCATATCATCATCTTTTTATGTTATCAATTATGGAGAGAAGAATGCTTTTAAAAGAAAAGTTTATTGGATATCAAGTTATAAGACTATTTAATGCCATGCTTAGCCCATCATGATAATGGTTTCCAGATGTGACCACGAGGAGGTGATGACAATCCACATCCATAGTTTTACGTCTTCCCGGACGGGCCCTTTTAACGTCTATCGCGGACGGCTAGTTATACGTCATTTGAGCTACGACGGCAGCATTTATAGAAAATGTGCGAAAAGGCGTTTACGTCTGACGACGGCAAACATTTTACGAATGTGCAAACGGGAGTTTACGTCTTACCAAGACGGGCCCTTTTAACGTCTATCGCGGACGGCTAGTTGTACGTCATTTAAGCTACGACGGCCATTTTAACGTAAATGTGCAAACGTGATAGTTAACGTACCATCAACACGGCTTCGGGCGTGAAGCAGACGCAGTAGTTAACGTACTACCGAAACGGGTCTTTTTTTTTACGTGTTATGGACGTACCTAACAACACGGGCATGTTTACGTAGGCCAAGACGGGCAGTTTACGTCTTACCAAGACGGGCCCTTTTAACGTCTATCGCGGACGGCTAGTTATACGTCATTTAAGCTACGACGGCAAAGTTTATGTCGATGCGAGACATCTCCAAAGGAGAATGAGGTTGCGCAACCTGCCCCGTTAAAGAGGTCGAAAAAAGGCGTTTGTTATATACCCGGTTGCTGCGGATGTTGAAACGCGCAAATTTTTTCACACCCAGCGTGGTTTTTTTACGTGCTCATTTCGCGTTTTTTCGCCCGATTTCCTTTTATATCCACGCGTACCGCGTCAGCGCGTTTTGTACGATAATTGCTGCCAAAAGACGCCGTTTTTTTTTCTACAAGTGGGCAAGAAGAAGGGGAAATACAAATGGTGTTGACATGACACTCATGCAATTGACACCTTCCTATTGTGACACGAAACTATCATGCCGAAGCGGAGGAAATCTGCAGCTGATAGGGGGGCGCCATGTACTACAACAATAGCTACATACTTGCACGTGAATTCGATACTTTTTGACGAGATAAAGTGATTTAAGCAAGGTGCATATACTCTATACGCTGCATCAAAAATAGGATGACGCGTGTTTAACATCCAATTGCTTGCACAGTACGCCGACAGAATACGTATTCATTTGCAAGGAGCAACAAGAAAGTTATACAAGTTTCATATATAAACCATATCAGAGGCATTTTTATTCTGAAGGAAAAGGAATGAAGGGATGCATATACTTGCAGATGGAGTTGCCATGGAAATATCTTGTTGTTTGTATCAAGGAGACTCGACCAGCGGGCTTCATCCACCAGCGTACAAGATTCCAATCGGCGCAATCGTACACCCTTGACTACTCTTCTTGTCCTTTTGGTTGACGACCGCTCATGTATTGCCAACTACTAAACTTGCTCAATGTCAGAATGGAAAGTCCATCAGTATACTCTCTTACAAGCAATGCTGTCTGAAAACGATCCAAGAGTGTGGTTTCAAACGCTCCAACACCTCCCATTGCTCAACGACGCCGATACTAGAGTGTCCGTTTGTCGACAACAAACGATCGATTGACGCATCCCTATATTGGAAACGACTGCATCAGATATGTTCCAGGGTGACAAGACAATGGCAGTAGCGTGCGAGCAAAAGGTGTATCAAAGAGGACAATACGTATGCGTCTGCCTGCAACAATCATAAGGCTCTCTCCCCACAACAATCCACGCGTTATACCAATACTTGTTCGCATATCAAGATGCCAGTAGAGTTGAATAGTTTAGTATCAATGCTATTACCAATGAAAACGATGTATGGATATTGGGATAAGGTTGCTTCCGTGTCATTGTATTGGGTTTATACGTATGAGTTGTCGGTTGTTGTAGCATTGCTTTGGAATAAAGTCCCGTTGGAATATATACAACGTTGGATTGGAAAGGAAAGCTATATATGAAATGAGAAGAGTGAGCATTGTGCCATTTGTGTCGATATATGGTCAATCATAAATGGTGGGTATTACAACAGGCTGACGTCGGCAACCTTGAATAGTGAAAATGATACCTCGCTAAGGTGCTCTCTGAGGCCGTCGATTTCAATTCTACAATCGGTTGCTATGATACTTTGAACAAAAGATCTACTTTCAGCCTCGTTTGGAAAACATCATGATGACGGGATATGCATTTTGGTTGACATGAATAATAGATGATCCATGTATCTTACATCTGAGGCTTCATATTTTGGTAAGCCTACTATTTGGGTCGCCTATCAAAAATGGCTCGCCTTTTTTTGGCCCTACCATTGGAGATCGAAAATGGCTAAATCTGGACTAATTCTGGTTATAGGTCCACCCATTGGAGATGCTCTATAACAAGTCATTGAATGATCGCCTTTGTTCTAACAATGAGCCAGGCTTCCCTATGCATACGAGTAGTATATGATGAAGGGGATCTTTGTGGATATGCAAATGGTTTTTTATACATGGTTGATGCTACGAGTCAATCTTGAAGGTGGTATTGCTAACGAGCAGGCATGTTACTACAAGGAGGGGCTTCCAATTCTCATAAGGATCCAAGATGCATTAATGTGGGCCAAAGATTACATATGTATTGGTAATGACATTATATGTCTCTGGCCCAAGCTTCATTCTTAAGGATCCCTCCTGGTCATCAATTTGAAGAATGTTCTCAGACATTCGGTACTCGGTCTCACATTGCATGAAACTTTTTATGCACACACAAATATGAACGCCCATTAAGATATCACCACCATTGAAGAAAGCAATCGAAGCATTACAACGAGAAATGGCAGACGAAGTGATGTTTAACCAATATTTGATATCCAATCTTCAATTGATATTAACTCGAAATATGCTAATTAAATGTTGCGTCTGACAAGCCCAGCTTGCAATTCCGAAATGTAGATTTACTTTGCACCCATCATGGCCTTAAATTCTTCAAAGCTGATCTGGCCATCCTTGTCGGTATCGGCTTCATTGATCATGGCTGATAAATCTTCTTCGGAGAGCTCTTCATTCAAAGAAGCCATGACACGCTTCAACTCTTCACGATCGATCAAGCCGTTACCATCAGCATCAAACACCCTATGTAGGATACACAATAAACCATTCCATTCTTTGAACTCGTTGTTGATATGGATTACTCACTTGAATGCTTCCTTGAGATCATCCGCTTCGTTATCTGATTTGAGATTCTTGACCAGACCGAGGAATTCTTCAAAATCAATAGTGCCGTTGCCATCAGCATCCACGTCGTTGACCTATAACCCAAGCATGCATAGATCAGTCTAGGTAGCCTATCGCATACGCATCTCTTTTTATCTTTTTACCATATCCTGAAGTTCAGCGTCACTTGGGTTCATACCAAACGAGCGCAAAACAACACCGAGCTCTTTGGCCGAAATGTTCCCATCGCCATTCTTGTCAAAGAGTTGGAATGCTGCCCGATACTCATCGATTTCCTCCTTGGAAAGTTGATCTGCCTAATCTGAAGCTTGAGTCCTATTGCTTTTTCGCTTTATCGCGTGTGCGGTGTTGTTACCATAGTATATTAACTCGAAAAAAGAAGATGGTGTGATACTCTCGCACACCCACACACACCACACAACCTCTCGCTCTTACTTTGTGACTCGTATGACAGCGGTCGTGGGTGCTACACGAACAATCCCATGCAAACTTTCTAGTCTCGAAAAGGAAAATAGGTATCACGTACTAAAGCCCATGCACGGCACAGATCAGTAGTAGTAGTAGTGGTAGTAGCATGCAGTCTATAATAAAGAGTAGCGGTCTTTGATCGAGAAAAATGATGATGATGATGATGATGACACATAGCAGCGAATGCATGACATAATGGTTATAGCTTTTTTGACTAGGAGAATGACAACAGCTGTTGCTGCACTACCGTTGCCATGGTGCATACTCGACCCAAATATGCCATGCTGACGATTTAAATTAACTCGATCGATTGAAAAGCGGTCCACGTGCCTCACTGAAATTATGGTACTTGTTGCTGTCAAACATGTTTAAAAGGATCAGCTTCTTGTTGAGCTGTCATCGCCATCCTTATCACTTTTTTCATTATGAAATTCCTTGCAACACTTGGTGCTATTCTCCCTTGCTTGGCATTGGTTTCAGCCGACTTTTTGCCTGATGTTCACAATGCTGCACCTGGTGCTTCCAATGTCAAGGAACGTATCCGCCCACCAGAGGGCATGTCAGCCTATGATGTCTTTTATGCCAAAGGCCAACGTGTGTATCAATGCAATCCTGAACGCACAGGTTTCCAGCATTGGTACAGCGTCCAAACACTTGGCTCTCTTTACCCAACCAAGGATCGTCAACCACCTTTTGATCTCCAAGGTTCTGAAATTGGATCGATTTCTGTTGCACCCTTGAATTCATCCGTGTACGTAGACATGATGATATGCTCTTTTTCTTTTTTGCTCACTTTTCTATTAGGGCTGATCCCATGGATGTGATCCCTGTCATCTACTACTACCCTGATGGATCATGGGTTGGTACTTCACGTCCCTTGGCAACCACTACCAGGGAAGAAGGTCGTGCTGAACGAGGTGATGCTGGCAATCTCGATGACCATTTGGAACCCGCTGCTTTCAACTCTGAAGATGGCTATCTCTCTCATGCAAAGTATGTGGTGCGTCTTGGTTCTCTTGATGGTGCCGTTCCAGCACCAGAGGATTGTGACATTAAGGGTAAAACTGTTATCAAGCCCTTCACTGCATACTATTTGATGTACACAAACCAAGAAGGTGAAGAACTCTTACGAACCGAACGTGAAGAATGGAATCGTATGATCGAGGAGTACAGACCCAATGATAATGGATTGGGCTTTTAAATAGCAAGTTAATACAACAACCACATGTTCTGTATATTCCTTTATTTGGTGATGATGATAAAGTTTTGTTGATTACATCGATTTCTCCTCATCTATATATAAGCAATGAAAGGGAGGAGAGGGGGGCTGTATGATAAGGATATTGGGGTGGCAACAAAGGCCGCGGGGGGAGAATTGGGATACTAGAAAACGCGACGCGACGCGATCCAAGTTGTACTGCTTCATACTCCCAAAATTTCTAGATTATGTCTGATAGAACGACACGCAGCAAACGAAGCAAGCGTAATAATGCCGTCAGGTACATGGACACCCCAACAATGCAACGATAAAGCACTCACACAACCTTCAGCAATGTCCATTACGTCGGCTATGTTGAGGATGAGGAGTCCGTCGAAGCCATCATGAAGAAATTCGAGGAACTCGAGAGGATCCAAAGTGAAATCGCTGGCAGTTCAACACCTGGCACACCTGATATCACTGACAACGATGTCCACATGGCTTCACCCGATGTCAATGCGGCAGCAGCAGAGGCACGACCTTTAACAGAAGAGCAGCTGGAGGAAGTGTTTAAGCGAACGTCGGCTTTCACTGTCAAAAGTGCTATGATTGATACGAATGAGGAGGATGTGGATGCGCTTGAATTATGGCAAATCGAGTTTCAAGATGGCAATACGGAAGAATTATTTGAGGAAGAGTAAGTTGAATGGAGAGGGATGGTGGTGGGTTCATTCATAGGGATGTGGATGTGTACCAATGATGATGATAGTGATTACATGCATGTCGACGATGATTTCTGGGATCAAGAATTTGGCGATGCACCACCACGACCGAAAAGAGGACGACGTGCTGCTACTCCACGTGAACGACCTACACCAACGGGACGACGAGGATTGGACCGGGATAGTATCATTGCGAAATACCGAATCATGCAAGTGCAAGTGCAGGATCAAAATGGCAACTTTTTCATGGTCAAAAAACGTGTCAGGTAAAAAAAAAGAGAGAGAAGGATGGGCCTTTTTTCCTCAGCCGTCATATTGACTCTTGATCATTAGTGCTCTTGATCCAGGCTTACCAACCTACGTCAAGATCCCTGGAGCACCAATTCCTCGTTCATGGGTACATCAAATTATGGAAATACCACGGATAAGAAAGTATTCTGGATCACAGTGAGTATTCAGGTGAAGGGATCAATCATGATCATCGCTGACCATTGTACTTTAAGTTTACATGAGGTGGATGATATCTTATCTTTGGATCTCAAGGAATATGGCACAGACTTTAAAGCAATCTATATGGACCCTCCATTGTTATTACCAGGCGAAGAGCCTACACCTGGAAAGATCCATGTCGATGATTTGGTAAGTGATTCATACCTCACATCAAAACAAGTGTCCTCTACTCATACAAGGAATGAAGCTACGGTTAAACATACCAGAGGTGATTCCTTGCGGCTTCCTCTTTATTTGGCTTGAAAAGGAATGGTTGCGACGCATCGTTGAGATAGGAGAGCAATGGGGATTTAAATATGTTGAGAACTTTTGCTGGATCAAGAAGAACATCAACAACCAAATTCACACAAGCCCAGGCACTTATTTCAAAAAGAGCAAGCTCACCCTACTGGTATTCCGAAAGGCAGGTCTCATCATCACCTTTTGATACTACAAAGTGGCTTACACATTATCTATATAGGAAGGAGACGTGGAACTTCGACATCAACGTAATCCAGATTGTGTATTTGACTTTGTAAAACCCATGTTGCCTGGTATGTCAAAAGCGGATTAGCATCATATTTTAATAAGCTAACATGCGGTTGACAGGAGAATCCACTGAGTCCAAGCCTTCCTTTATATATCATGTCATTGAGACCATGTTACCAGGAGCAACCTATCACCCAGAGACCAACCCTGATGGAAAAGGCCTTTTGCAATTGTAAGTACCTACATGTCTATAAACGGGGCACGCTCTAATATGGCTTGCAACAGATGGGCGAAAAAGGGCCAGCAGAGGACAGGTTGGACAACGATTATCGAGAAAAATGATTAGAATTCATGCATGGCAAGCATAAATGGCAAGATTGTCTTTCACTGGAATATGCATGTGACGTGTTTTGTGGGGCCCAGGGAATGAAGCATGATGAAAGTATAAATGCTCAAGTGAATGAGACATTATGAAACAATCTTTTACACCTTGACTACCATGATGATGAAAACACGCAAGTGGTCAAAGATGTGGTTCTTTGGCCTAATCGCTTCATTCTTTATATGTAACTTGATTTTCTGGCGCTATCGTCCACGTGGCGGTTGTGATCAGAGTGGCAATTGTACTTTTTTCGGCAAGGTTTGTTTCGTATGGTATAGAGAGGTCCAAGGACATTAGTATTCATTCACCATCACCATCCTATCAGAAATTTGGTAGCGCTCCACAAGCAAAACCATCCACTCCACCTGCACCACCCCCACCAGCTGAAGCCAAGCTCAACCCTGTACTTGTACAAGAAATTCAACCCATCAAGCGCCCCAATACCTTCATCCCAGGTACTTACGCATATGATTCATTGCTTGTATATGGTATCTCACATAGATTCTATCATAAAGCGGGTAGACCAGCAGAGGCACAAGATTTAGAACTGATAGCACCAACCTCGGACGATATTACAATCCGCCTTAAAAAGGATGCAGCACTAGGCTATGCATCGCGCACTGAACCATGGCAATTTGGACTTGTATGTCATGCAAACTCACCATTTGCATCTATGCTAATTTTTTTTTATCCAAGATCAACACCAAACCGGACGTGTTCGTTGCTTCTGAAGGCCATTTTGGTTTCGTAAACCAACATTATGAGCGTGAATTCCGCATTTATTCATTGATGAAATGGATCTTGCGCGTTTACAGACGCGATCCACAACGTACACAACCTTTGCTTATGGTGGATGCTGGTAAGCTGTTGTTGTAAGGTATACTTTTTTACGCCAAATACCAACCGTGTTTTAGGTTCCAATCATGGTCTTTTCTCCATGGTGGCTGCAGCAAGTGGTGCACGTGTCATTGCATTTGAACCACAAATCAACTTGCGTAGTAAGTATCTAATCCATAGGCTTGCCTTTGTTTGGGAATGTGTGGTATTGATGAATCACCACCATCTTTAGGTGTCATTGCTTTTGGTGGTCGTTTAAACCAAGTCTCTGATCGAATCCGTGTTCTTCCATTTGGCGTATTGGATCAATTCCGCAAGATAGCCATGGCCAAGTATGAAGTTAAGGATGGTGGTATTGGTCATTTGGATCTTGCTGGCGGAGCAAATTCCACCATGCTTACCCAAACCATCCGCTTGGATAATCTACCCCGATACGACATGCTTTTTGGTGGCGATAAGAACCATAGTGAGAAATCACTCATCAACCAACCTGAAGAGATCGATCCTTCCTACGCCGCTGCATTACGTTCACTCAACACACTCGGCGTGCGTTCAAGCATGGATGAAGCATTGACCTTGAAAAATCCCATCCATTTTCTCAAGATTGATGTGGAAGGATTTGAATTGAATGCATTGGACTCGGCTACACGCTTATTTGAAGCAGGGCTTGTGGAACATGCCGTCCTGGAATTCGGACCTCCTAGTCGTTGGGATGTCACTGTACCCAAAGAAGAGCAATTGAATACCACTGAAATACGCAGGCGTACCGTCGACCACGCCAAAAAGGTGCTTCACAGAGTGACCAAGGAATGGGATATGGATATTTATCTCTTGCCAGCTATCGGATGGCAATCAACAGTGAAGTACATGTTGCTACGCAACGTCACTTTTAGCAACATGCCAACCGGTAATCAAGTCGTTCACAAGCTCAAGGCATGGGACTTTGATCATCAACCTTTTGAACAAGATGAATTTGAGCGAGAATTGGAATCCATGAAGCAGTTGGTTACCGAAGTCATTCCCTTGCCTGATCATTTAATCGATGACTACATGGAGCGTATGCAGTCCATTGGTGAAATGTATTTGTGGTTCGCTAAGCGTACCGGCCATTCAGCAGTGACAGCTAAGCTAGAAATCTAAATTGCATTAGCATACATGTTTATACAAACCCAATTTACAATCGTCATTCAATAATACATCTACATACAACATACACCTTACCACTTTTTTATTCGTAAAATGCCATCAAAAATGGCCTTGCAATGATTCTATTGTACATACAAGCAACAGCAAGTAGATTTGAACCAAAAGTGCATGGTAGATCAACAACCTATGGCGTATAGAAATGGAGGAATGGCGCTGATAGGTGACAACAACCCTGATTTGACTACACAAGACCACGACATCCACCACGCACTCTGGCTCTTTTACACGTAATGAGCCAACCTTTAATCCTGATAGAGGCGCCCCATTGGCTTATCAATGTTTGCATCATTCCCAAGACCCCAACAACATTTATCACTCTTTCCTCTTATGCGCACATAAACTCACACGCCCACGCAAATAAAAAAGCCCATCGTGCTTCTACGTGTCTCTTTTCTTCATGGTCCCTCTTTGGTTGATTACGATGACAAGCCAGTAATTTTGGTGTGGACTAGGGTGGATAACGCTTTTGAAAATCCTGTGGATGATTGGTCATTGTGATCATTCAGGGTTCTTTGTTGATTGATACCCTATTTTGATTGCCGTTGCTCATTGTGATGCTTGATTCTTGTACAATGAGGTATGCAAAGTCTATTCCTAATGCTTAATGACTTTATCCTCATACATGCTATGTACATTGCACTTATTTCCATTTAGCTACCTGGGGACATGATGTTGCCCTCTAAGACTGAAATTGACATGGTGCATTTTGCGTGGTCCAAGAACATGCAACGTGAAGCTTTAAGCAACATTCAATCACGGGTTCAAGGCATGTCTCGTTTCGGGTGTGTGAATACATCCGCCCAGAAGCGGGATTAAGCGAGATGCGAGTCTTCACATTATACTACAAGGTCTCTGGGCTTGGAGTACCTCCCTGAACATACTTTTGTTGTCGCTGGTGGAGGTTTTCCCATCCCTGCAGCGGGACTAAGAGAGATAAGGGCGTCATCTCACATCGGGATCTCATCATGCAAGACCTTGCGACTTGTATGTCGTTCCTCCTTTGTACGACAACTCATCACATTATGCTATCGGTGGGGTGATTCAAAGTAGCTCCTTCACCGAGCAGGTCTGCAGTTACCTTTTGGAAACTCATCAACTCCTGAAACTTGATCAACATGGATTCTACACAAGGTAGGTTGATATGACATTTTCAAGCTTGCTCGTAATCGGTAGCTGATGCAGCAAAACGAATGGACACCGAAGACTCTGAAGGAAGCACCAGAAGTTGAAGAATGGAGAAAAGAACTTGGCGAATTTGAAAGAAGAAACAACAAAAATCCTTGCATCACCATGTTCATCAGTGATTATGCAATCACTTCTCACACATCACGTTGTATCGTTTCGGCGAGTCCATGGGAATAAAGGAAGGAGAACTTGCGCTGGTTGCTTTCCAGTTGGCAACTTTACTATATAGATGATGAATAACTGCTCCTCGATTACCATCATGATGATGTACATTGCTATGTAGATACCTTCATATACTCCATTATCATATACCTTGATACGAAAGTTCAACATGATCACTCCCAAAATTATACATCCTCAGCACACTCAAGGATTCAATATTCGATTCACTCGGATCGACCAAGAAGCAGATAACGATACAAGAAATGTCCGATAAATGACTCCTTATATCATGCAATGGGCAAAGAGGGGCCGTGCGATCATCTTTTGAAGAGACTGTGGAATCGGTAACCAAGATCGATGACACAAGGCATCTATGCATGGACCTTTCATGGAGGCTGGGGTGGTCATCACAAGAGCGCATGATTGGATTATTGGCTACAGGTGTCATGGTGCCTACAACATCATTTGGCGCTGGTGTAGATGCACCAGGCGTTCGACTTGTGATCATTTATACTGCTATACAAGATGGTATCGTTGGCTATGCACAACAAACATTGCTGAATAAATCTCCTTGAAAAATCTTATGTAATTACATGAACGGCATATGTCATTCACCACACGATCCATAATTTGGATCATCCTATGCAAACTGGGCTTCCATCCACAGCGATCAACGTTTCTGCTTGCTTGATTTTTTGCTGCAGCCTGCATTAATAGCGTGATCATGTAGAATGGCCTCAAATTGATGCTTCAAACCATCCCATTTTACCACCACTAGTAGCCATTAACTTTGACAAAGAAGCCATTGATGATTGTTTTTATGAGCGCATAACTCTAATATACATAAAAGCACCAGGCGTGTGTGATGCATCTATTTGAATAATCCTGTACTTTTCTGAGAACTACGCTACGATCCAATGTTGGCATTAGGAAGAATCAGGTGGTCCGGCCTCCAATGATTCTAATATCATAAAAGAAGGTGAGATGAACGAAGGAGGATCCAATGGTCCACAAAGCACTTACCAAATGGCTTTACGATTTCGTACAATTTGCCGTACAACTTGAAAGCATGTTTATCTATGGAAAGGGATGATAACTGATAGATGTAGGAGAATGAGATATACATGCTTTGTAAATGCAACCCTGTGTTTTCAACATTACCTCTTCTCCGAGTTGGCGTACGTCTAAAAGAATCTGCAAACGAATCTTGTCTTCATCTGACATGGTGCGTCCTGGTTGTTGGTTCAGCAAGGAGGAGGATGATTGGGCGGACTTTTTGCTCTTTTTGATCTTTTTGAGTGAATTCTCCATCTTCCGTAAGCTGGTCAATAAATCACTGATGCTGGTCATGTATCGGTTGACGACATTTTCGGCAATCAAACGACCCCAAAGCTCCTGCTTATCGCTGTCAATCCATGTCGTGTTTTGCTCGGTAAATTCGGAATAGGGTTGAAAGATCTTGGATATGAAAGGTGATGGTTCGGTGGGTGGTGGTTTGTTGGTATAACGATATTGGCCACTGATATCAGGCACATGGTTCAAAGCTTCACTGCATCGCCGACTCACAATGCGAACAACTCGAAACTGGATCTCGGCAACCGTTGCCATGGCCAACTCATCCAAAATGGTATCCATGCTTTCTATTTTTATGTATGAGTTCAACGGCAGCCAATGGATCCTTCCCTTTTCTCACCTCTCAACATGGACAAATCCACATCAGGCAACTTTGGTGCTATTGTCTTGGTGATACGGCTTTTCACCTAAATGGATACCATGTTTAGAGACAAGTTTTGTATTCAGGTCAATGGTTTACCTCTTGGATAAAAGCATCCACATCATGAGAAAGGATGACCAATTGTGAAGTTGATATCGATTCGTCATTGTTTGAAGGTTTGGATGGGTTCGTTGCTTTTCCTTGATTTGTCTACAACACGCATATGGGGTCAAAAGATCCAACATTTCAAAACCAACTACACGCACGCACGCACATGCGACCTCATCTTACCTTATCAGCTCCCAAAATATGTTGTAGAATACCTGTTGCCCATATTGAATATCGCTTGGTGAGCTATACATGTGACAAGCAAAATGAGTTTCCTGGTTCTTAATGTTAATGACGCACCCTATGTACCTGTAGAGTGAGCTTCCAAAAGCGATGGGAAAGACTGTACAAAAATATATGGTCGCTCCAACACTTTTCAATCGCCTGTGAAATGGCTCTCGTTGCAGCAAAGGCCAAGTGATAACTTTCGCCTGAATCGCCACCACCACCTGAGGAAGAAGAAGGGGGTTGCTGTATGACTGTACTACCAGTTGGGTTGTTCAATAAATCCTCGACATTCTTGACAATCTCTCGAAATCTAGGTTCTATCCATGTCAGCTGCATCTGCATGATAGGAATGACACACACACACACACACACACCCTACTGACCTTAATTGGAAATAGACGGGCAATTGCCACCGTTTCATGAATTCTGAATAGCGGGGATGGCTCCTCAAGCAGATCAACGATTTTCTGGAAGTGCATATATTCTCAATGCTGGATACAAAAGAAATGGATGCCGTATAACTCTATAGACACATGAATGATTAAAATGGTAAATGGCGGGATATTTGGCACCTACCTTGTGGAAAGAATCGGTTTGTCCAGGGGCATAAATGCTGCTGCCATGCCGATTTAAACGATCAATGACTTCGACCCAGAATGAATTGACGAGAATTTCATAAGTGGTGCCCTTTAGATTCTTTTGCGTAATGTCCAATATAGGTTGTAGATCACCAGAGGCAAATGATAACAATTTACTGTACATGGTCGTCAAATCAGCAAGAGCATCATGCGTGATAGTCTAATAACATCATCCATGGTTAGTATGGCTACCCATGTTCTTCGATCCTTCCCTCTATCAGCATACCTTTTCAACAAATGGACGCACAAATTGCTCTCGAATTAGCCATTCAGCCACTTGTGTCTGATCAATCAACGCATAGGTTCGCAAGCACTGGATCAAAGATTGCTTTGTGGAATCATTGGGTTGGCCCTCCTGTAGTTGTCGTAAAGCTGATTCCAACGTCCTTGACAGCTTGCTCTGCAAAGTGTCCTTGATTCGTGTGATACGCTATAGCATGGATAGGGTGAATGACATGCTACATGTGTGTATATGTATATATAAAAGTTACCCATTCATTTTCAGCCATAAACGGTAAGTGTTTGCCTCGTTTCACTAAATGCTGCATTTGGTTGTACTCGATGGCGACGCGTTCGATTTGCTTTCCCAAACTAGAATACGTTCGTTCCATAAATGAAAGGCCATTCCTCCTCTTCCCTTTCCTTTGCTTCACAACCAACCTTTCATCACTTGTCACCGAAATAGCCGGGGTATCTGTGTTGATCTCCAATAAATCCTCCACTTTGGTAACCGATTCATGGATATTGAGCATAAGTTTCAAGCATGTCTATATATCCATCATCAGTTGATTGATCCCTTTGCTGTTTTTACCAAATCCTCCTCCCTCCATACATACCTTTTTTTCCCGTAATTCAGCACGATGCTGGAGTTGCGACTCGAGTTGATCAATGCTTGATTGGCAGTTGATGCGAATGTCCTAATGCCATGTATCAATCCACGTGTGTTGTCCCATCCCATGGACCCTCCTTCGTTCCTTACCAGTGCTTCATGCTCCATACGTTTCAAAGGTCCACGAATATTACTGATAGCTTTATCCACACCTTTAAGGTTGGTTGACAGGTCGATAAAGTCTTGGTAATCGCGGTTGATAAGTTCAATGAGCTCGGTCTTTAGGAATTTGAGGTGGTTGTTGAATTCGACCTTGAGACGTTCGAGTCCCAAATGGCGTCTGCTAGCGAGGAAGCGATCGGTGTCAAAGTTGGGGGCAATAAAAGCAGCGCGATCCACAGCATCCTTGGTCAATGGTTCAAAAGTGAAATTGCCATCCTCGTCATCCTCGTCCTGAAAGTTGAATACAGGGCGTTTTCGGTCGTGTGGTTTTAAGATATTCGTCATAAGTGTGGGCCGTGTAAACGAAAGCCACGTCGAGTGCTGGTGGTGTGTTGGAGGTGTTGGAGTTGAGTGGAAGAGGTGTGTGTGTGTGTGCGGGAATTCAAAAGTGCTGGCTCCACCAAATTAGTAGCATCATTACCACTTGAAGCTCACGTGACATTGAGAAAATGAGTATCTGCAATCAATGGGATCCTTTATTCATTAAGAAAAATGGTATACTATTAAGCCTCTTCGACCTGATCGCCCAATTTTAGCATGACTTGAAGCCATCGTTCGTCATTTGCCCAATCAATGTTGCTCTCAAGGATAAGTCCCTAATGATAACAATGAACAACGACAATCCATATCCCAATGTTGAATGACTTACCATTAATACATTGCGTGCGATTTCCAACCGGTTGACCATATCATCCATGCTATGTAAAGATGCCCCTTTAGCATTGAATAGAACAAGGATTCCACCCCCACCGCTACTTACACTTCTGGTCTGACAGTGACTTGTGATGCTTCTTTGGCAATTTCTTCTAATTGTCGGGTCCGTATTCTTTGTATTTCTTCAATCAATTGCCGATTGGTGATGTGCGTGTCTATAATGATGATAATGAATGAATGAATCATCCTTACAAGGGAACGATCACCCCACACGTTGATGATTACCCAAGACTTTGGCTTGCGTTTTGGCCAACTGTACACGTGCTTTTTTCAATTGATCCGTGATCCGTAAAATCAACAATGTCAACTCGTCTCGTTCTTGTAATCTTTCCGTAACCAAGCGCCTAGTTTCAAAAGGGTTAGTTGCATACATGGAGTGGGAGATAGATAGGGTGAACCTGCTGCTTACCTTCGTTCCATAGTGTCATGGTCGCTCGGCCCGCCGTAGAGTGTATTCAAAGTATGAAAAGAGGCATCCAAGTTGCGTGTCATACATTTCCTGCTCAAGTTGAACTGTGTCATGACATCCAATTCGGCTCGTAGTCGATCAATGGTGTTACAAAGGTCTTCTGCTGAATGGTCGATGGATTCGGTTTGTTCGGGTGGTGCCAATGCGCGTTGATAGTGGTCAATGTGTCGTCGAAGCCAGTCAATTTCTCGTTGTGAATCGAGGACTTGTTTTTCTTTGTTGGTCAGTACGGGTGTTGATGCCATTGTGGTGTATGTGTGTGTGAGAAGAGAGTGAGAGAGGAAGAGAGAGATAGAGGTACTACAAAGAAGATCTGAGTTTGCGTGTTGAAAGAGAAATCAAAAGTCGCGTGGCCTCATTAGCGCTGTCAAAAATGTTTTATTTTCAAGAGAGCAATGCATCCACTCTCATAAAGCTTGTGCTGTTATTGGATTGATTCGATGAAGATGATAAAAGTGTTTGTTGCGCAAAGGTAGTTGGATTGGTCAAAAGAACAGGTGATGGTGGGGTATCAGTGGATGATGCTGTAGTGATATGGGTGGTAGTAGTAGTAGTGGTAGTAGTACTAGCATTGGAAACATACTACTGTGGATTGTCAGCAATACATACATGGCTCCCTCTTTTTGTTTTGTCATTACCACAGATGCTGCTGCCGCTGTAGCTCGTGTAGGTCGTGATAGCAAACAAATGATATACAAGCTACCCAAAGTCGTTGGCTGGTATAAATCAGCACCCAGGCCTCCTCCTAAATAAAATTGAGCTTGTAACGCTTCAAGACCACCATCATTACGTTTCATCCATAGAATATCGGCTACGGTTTGAGAACCATTGGCTATAGCGGTAAGGGTATCTGGATGTGTGCTAAAGAACTTTTCTGATGTGGTGCGTTCCGTGGGTGGTGTCCGTTGCCAAGTGGCATCCACGCTGGAAGCCACATGCGTTACATTATCAAGCAAGACACGATGCAAACGTGCAAGCACCTCGCTACTTGTAGGAGCAATGAAAGAATAAAGTGGACGATGGGCAAGTTCTTGGGGATAATAACCTAATAATGTTTGGACTTCATCGGATACACGCGCACAACATATCTCCATGGACAAAAATGCCTAAACAAAGGACCATGGGTAAAATGGTCCTTGAGAGTAAAAGAAAAAAAATCATACGTACCGTGACCACAGGGGACGATGTTCCTTGTAAAGTCGTTTGTGCTGCTGTGGGTGGAAGCGTTGTCATGGTAAATGATGAATGACGCATAAATTCACTCGCGGTGGTATAAGATGTTGTAGCTCTGCTGCTGTTGTTGGGTTTCAATTTAGGGCGCCCACGTTTCTTATGATCAATATCATAACATCCATCTTGTTTGCCAAGTGAAACGCATCGTCGACAAGGCCTTTCAGCTACGATGCGGGAGATCAATTGTGTGTTTGTTATATAGGTGGGTGGTCCAACTCCCCCACTTACTATCACAAGCTAAATGCGCCCTTCTACAATTAATCTACATAGGATGGATGGATGAAGGAGTGGTCATGATCAGCCATGGGGGATTCATATCGTCATTTTCTGTAGCATACACAAGCGCGTTGTACGTGTGGTTTGTTTCTATTGGGTGGATGTTGCTGTTGTTGACTTAGCATATAAAAAAAAAAGATGTCAGTGAAAAAAAAGGGGAGAAAATAGAACCTTTTTTTCAATGCTTCGGAGAATTGGGCAAAACGTGACATGCGTGGACCCAAGGCTAACTACTCTATCTTATGCCGGGCTATTTACATTCTAAATTTTCCGATGGGACTTTTTGTCAAAACGTCTACAAACGATTGGCTGATGCATTCATCTTCGGAATAGCATGTGATTTCGTGCTGTCCGCGGCTTGGTTGCCACATCCGACGATCATCAACGTGAATGGTAGAGGAGTATTCATGCAACCACATGCGTACATAGATTATGAATGGATCATCTTCATCATGCTCTTATTATTATTGCTCTTAAGGCTAGTTTTATTCATAGGAGTAGTATGTAGTAAATCAATTAATACGCTTTGAGAACTTCTGTCGTGATCGATGTCTTGATATCGCACCCCCTCCTATAGTAGCAGAGCGCTGAAGTGGGGGCGGCACTGCAGCGGCCTTTTTGTTGTCAATCTCAGGATCTTGATTTAACCATGATGTGCTTGTTGGGATGGTGGCACTATTAATGGTGGTAGCAAAAGGCACCTGTTCTTGTGGTTGCTGTGGTGGTGGTTGATCATGTTCGCGTGTTGATGAAGTCATTTCTTGTTCCTCCTCAGGAGGCTTTGTGTCGACTTTTAGACCATGAGCTTTCCTTGATTTACGTTTCTCCTCAGGACTTGTCGTCGTATCACAAACAAGCAATGTTGTATCATCAGCATCCTTATCCTTATTACTATTTTCATCCACAACGGCATCCTTGTTGGACTCATCATCCGATAGCGACTGCTCCAAGATCGAAAAAGTGGATGTGGTAGATGGTGAATCATTATCATAGTTGTAGAGGTTCTCGTCATCATGATCCTCATAAAGATGCTCAAATCCATAATCAATGACGCCCGTGATAGCTGAAGCACCACGTAAATCCTTATCAGCAAACAAGGTTTCACAGTTCATGACAAGATCTTCAATGACACAATCATTGTACCATTCTCCTGGTGACCGTTGTGCTTGGTTATGATCATGGAATAAGGCAGGTGTAAATACCAACGAGATGTTTTGCGCTGACATTTTGTTTTTCTCTGCGAGTGCAATCAATCTACATAGCAAGGTGGTGGTGGTGGTGAGTAGATGGTGGTAACGACGTTTCCCCCATTTCTTTACCTGGCAAGATGTTCAATCACAGCTTTTAGGGTATCATAATTGGGTGGTGGTAATTTGATGAGACGTGTCAAGAGATTCATCAATCGAAGCTGCTTATCCGGGATTTCTATAATAAAAGACGAAGGTAAGGTTCACGATGATGATGATGATGACAAGCATACTACTTACGGGAATAAGTGATTCGATCGCTCAATTTGAAAGGAAAAACAGGTGATGATAGCTCTCGTAAAAAGATCTTTAGCAGTGAAGCCACGCTATACACATCTCCTGGTACATCGTCCTTGCCAGGAACCACGTTGGGTTCATCACGCTCAAAAGCAGATTTCAACTTGTCAATGTGTGTTTGTTTGCCCGACACGCGATAAATGCCTTCCTTAGCAAGGCCTTCTTGTTGCTCAATACATTCGATGCATCGGGTAATAAGCAAGGGCGGTGAACGTCGATATTGGCGTGCGTAATCAATCAATGATATTCCAAAGAGCATATCTAAATTGTACCATAGTTAATAAGCATGCATGTATGTGTAGCAATAGAACCTTGACAACAATACTTACATGGACATTCACCCACATGATGATTTTGATAATACACTGGATCAGGCACAGGGTATTTTTCAGGATGAACAAGCGTGTCATACAATGCTGGATCACGTGTGGGATCAATGCTGGTCAATAATTCCTCTGCACGACGCAAGTGGTGTTTAATATCATCCAATGTGCCGGTCTCTGCTTTGACAATGATTTGGGTTGCATCTTTGATGGAGCGTGCGTTCTCTTCAAACTGGGCCTGGATAGCCCTTCTTGCCGCATCATTGACGGCTGATTGCCGACCTCGTAAATGATTCAATCTCAACACCGTCTTTCGATAATGTTTATCTAGTCGTCGTTGTTGGTATGAGATCAAAACCATGTTACACACCTATTATTATGATTTCCTTTTTACCTGCTTCAATGGCTTCATTTTTAAGTCGTGCTGTTTTGGCCGTGATACGAGAAGGATCTTGATTAAAGGTCGAAAATTGTTTCATGAAGCGTTCCAATTTTCGCTGTGTGGATGTGGGTGTCATGGGCGTGGAAGGTAAATCAATGGATGGTTTCTTACTACCAACAACACCCATGGTTGCACTGCGGGATACGGTGGGATTTGCCTTTTCTGGTGAAGCATGTTGTTGTGGATCATGATCCTGGTTGCCGCTTTTTGGTGTCGCTGGTGGAAGCATGCTCATGACGCCTTTGAATCCATGACTACCACCGCTGGTAGGTGTGCTGGGAGTTGCTGTAGTAGGTGACATGGCTTGTGTACGCTCAATGTCTTGCCATTTATGTTCATAAGCATCTCGTGCCTACCACCACCATCATTTGTCTGAGATTTATGCAACAGCAATAGAAATGGGACACCACCACCACTACTACTTACTGCTGGGAGATCACGTAACCGTGTCTTTAAGTATTGTTGAGCTACACCTCGCATTGCCTTTCGGTGATGCCTTCTTGATTTATCATGTTTCTCCTACATCAAGGGAAACGCGCGTGTTGTTAGTAACCATAGGAGCAGAAGGAGGAGGAGGTAGTATCTACATACCTTGAGTTCGGCTAAACGTTGCAATTGACCTTTCATGGTTTGGATATAGTGTGTACGAGCTGACCGTTGTTGTGTATCCACCTCCACATGGGCAGCGAATGCCTTGTGGATACCCGTTGCCATGTCAGGATCACATGCAGGGAGTTCAAGGTTGTGAAGGATTCGATCCAGAGAGTTTTGATATCCCTCTTCAAGCTCAACCCTGGTAAATGAATGCCCGTTAACTCTAAAAGGATCAGCAGCACCACCACCATCGTGTTGCCTCTTACCGTTGTCGAAGGTAAATAATGAATCTCGCTAATTCATCATTGGTTTTTTGTGATAGAATCTCGATATCAGTCGATTGGGATAGTACTATCTGCTCCAATTCTTTATCGGATATTGGTTCCTGGTGGTGGTGGTGGTAGCATAGCAACAACGTAGAATAGGTTAAGGTACGAACAAGAGGCTGGTTTGAAAAAAGACGTAACATACCATGAAGGCAGGTTTAGAAGGTGGCAAACGAGATCAAATGACAAGATTGAAGAGTGTTTTGAAGGGAATGGTGCATTCGACATGCAATGAGTTCAAGGGAAAACCAGCGATGGAGACTGAAGAGAATAGGGTAAATGAATCGTGTAACACCAGCCAGCGATCTTTTGTTCCACATCCTTATTGCAAGCCCAGCTATGTGTTACAGTGGATTTAGGCCCTCAAATCTTTTTTTGACACCTCTCTTTTTATTATGAAACAAAGCTAATGACTAATCGTGTTGTGTTGTTGTTGTTGTTGTCGTCGTTGATTCAAGGATACTTTGTAATTCATTGCTAGTGATATCCGCTCTCTTTTGTAAAAAGGCATCGCCCAATAATTGTCCAATGTCATCCACAAGTTGCTTTTTCTCTTGTTCGCTTGCTTGGCCTGATGTTTCCATATGTGCTCCATCCTTGGCTACTTTTTCAAGGACGCCCTAAACAGAAAAAGACAATTGTCAATCATCGATTCCCCCCAAGTCCATTGTTATGAACACACGTACCAGTAATGCTTCTTTACATTTCTCTGCCTCTTGCACCTTTTGTGCGTTTCCATTCTCCAAAGCATTTTGCAAACAATGCGTCGTAAAGAATTTGATATGCGGTAAAACAAGGACTCGCGTAACTTCTGTGCCAAGAGCATCCAATCCAATGATGGCGCCGTATTGTGTTGTCAAGGGTCGTGATGGGTCAAGCAGTGCTCGTACAAGCGTCTTTGCAATTCGAGGTTGGAGTGTGTGATAAGCTTTGCCATAGTGTCTGCAAATATTGGCAATCAAGGATGCTGCACGGCGCCGCACAGACCAATGATCTTGGAATGGATCCTCTGATATCGTTCGACCAACAAGACATGTCATGATAGGTGGAATCAATTGATGTAACTAGTACCATACAATTGAGGTTAATTCATCCCACCACACATGCACACACACACACACACACACACACAACACGCTCTCCGTTCACTTACATAAGGCTCCACAAACAGGTGCTGATTATTCAACAAGGAATGGGCCATTGAAAGCATTGCATCCAAAACGTCAAGATCTTTGTGATTCTGTGTGACCTTTTTGTGGATATGCTGAACGAAATAAGGTAAAAGCTGATGCAAGCCAGGATCCATGCGTAGACTCTCAAATGCTTGGGATCGTAATCGCTCATCTTCGCTTAACACTGCCTCCGTGATCCTCTCAAAGTACATTTGCAATTCCTTGGATAAGACATGCTTCACAAGCGGCTTGACATCCACTTGATCGGAAAGACCACTTGTACCACCATGGCTTTTGGATCGTTTTGAAAGTAAATCAGCTTTGGCATCTAAAGTAAGAAAAAGTCAATATCATATCGATTGGCATGTATACACAACTTACCACCAGGGGTTGGGTTTTGAGGAATGGCGGGCTGAACACCTTCAATCGCTAACCAATGCGCCGTGAAGCTGACATCAAGAGGTATCTTTGGCAACGGTTTGCTCAGAATCGTATCAAAGTCGAGTTCGTCGTCTTGCGTAAAGTACACATCGGTAGAAGCAACATTGGCTTTGCGAAACTTTGGAGGACCACTGCAAGCATAACCATACAAGGGCTAATATAGAAGAAACACTGGTTAACATCCTGTATGATAGTATAGTACCTACTATATACCTCGACGTTTTTGGCACGAAGCGCAGAGTTGATATCGTCCACCGTCAATCGCGTACGTTTCGAATGTCGCATGAATTTGGTTGCTTCCTACAAGTCGCATTAGGCTTTTCCTTTCCCCAATCAAAGAGCCACCACCACAAGACGCCTTACTTGGATAAGTTCGTGTACTCGATATTCAACATCTTGCGCCAGCGCTGATGCCGCATCGTCTTTGAGATTGGTGATACCCAGCGATTCGCCAATGTTCTTTACATTGGGTGAGTGAGGGGATAAATGGGAGGTTCAAAGTATGATTGTACCTTGACAGTTTCTTTTGGAAATACACTCATTGTGGAGAAAGAGACAGCGTGCGTGTGTGTGTGCGCTGCTGCTGTTGCTGCTGTTGCCATGCTTTTCCTCCGCCGCCGCCAGCCGATAAAGGCAAGCAAAAGTACACTTTTGAGCCGTCACACACACAGTGATCTTATGCAACATGCAGATGGGTTTATTTACAAAAGAGACTAAAAAGTAAGCTCCAATACTACAACAAGATCAATCAAGATGCCACGCTCCTTATCATATCCATCCATGCGCACTTTGGTACAAGAACCGGTCCATGGGGAATTAGGATCATCTTTGGATTGTTCACTGACTGGTATCATGACACGATCTTCATCACTCACTCGATCATTCTCCGTGATATGTTGATGTCGGTTGAGACAATAGATGGAATATCGGATTTTGGGTTCGCGACTAGGCCTTTTGGATGGCACGGGCGTCTTTTCTTCTTGAGGTGGTGATGACGATGCCTGAGAACTCTTTTCTTGGTCCTGATCCAATCGTTGTTGTTGTGAGGAGGTGTCATTGTTCAACAAGGTATCCAATCCAAATCGACATAGTAGAATATCATCATAGTCTTGCTCATCATCACCCATATGCAATAAACGTCCTGCAATATTCTGTGCATCCACACGTACACGATACGTCTTGCCGAGAATTTCCTTGGTGTCTGAATAACAAGTCTTTTTCCAAATGACGTCTGTGGGTGGTGAACAAGAGGATTCACTGATGGCCGGTGTTACTGGTTCCGTCGTTGCATTCAATACGCCTTCCTCATTCTCCAATAATCGATCCAATTCCTCATCTTCGTACATTTCTCCTTCGTTGTCATTGATTTGTTCACTGCTGTCATCAGATGATTCCATGACCGTTTCAATGATTTGTGATGATGGCTCAGGTTCCTCATACACCCATCCATTGGCAACATTCGGTGAGGGCAATTGAATCGAGACGCAGAACCGATATTTGGGGACTCCCAGCAAGATCTGATGGCGTCGATCCGAATCCACATCAAAGTATTCATCCAAAGCTTCAGCATCCCGTAATTGTTGACTGGGCACTTGTTGATCCGGGAAAATGATGCGTTGTAAAGCCATCCGCTGCCACAAGGCACGAAAAACAATCCCCTCATCCACAATACCATCCGCTCGTACATTGGTAAGTTGACCAAACGCCATGTTGCTGTAGTTGATCGTGTTGCGTAAAAGATAGGATAATACAGTGGCCTTGTCAATCACACCCCCTGAAGATGCATCTTCAATCAAGGTTTGGAAAGGGACAGTGGCAGAAAAGCTGAGACGTGTGGTCCTTTGATGCCTGATTGAAGAAGAAGAAGGAGGAGGAGCTAGTTCTTGAGATGGAATACGTTTGCGTTTGCGAGCTTTGACAGCTGTCATCAAGGGTGTTTGTGGAGTGGTGATTTGTTGTTGCTGTCGCATTGGTTTCACAAATCCAGAAAGACGCTTATGATCTTGATCCACAGGGCCTTGAGGTGTCCAATGGATTTCACCCACCGACAGCATGAATTCGGAAAGCACGTCCCTCAATAGACAATAACGCTCGTACTCTGAATGAACATAGAGAAGATCGGCATTGAGGACATCCGCCATATAGTCGACTGGTAACTCGGCAATCGCTTCGGGGTTGTCAGGTCCAAAACGTAGCAACAATCTCAAGGAAGCATCCCGTAACTGTAGATACGCTGCGTGGTCACGTGGCAATTGGCAAATATGCTCAAGATCGCGCATGATGGTAAACATAGAAAGTTGATAGGTGGTGTAGCGTTCAGCACATGCATGAGCAAGATCATCCAGTTGAAAAAGAATCGCAATGGCCAATACGCGTAATGTATCATCCTCTTCCATCTGTTCGAAAAACTCGTCCTTGTCATTGCAATACATCCATTGTAAAGCATATCGCACATGGGATGCAAGAATGTGGGTAAAGAGGGGTTGTTGTTGTGCTTTGTCGCTGCTGCTATTGGACTCATGCGGTCGTTGCCATTTGCGTCGAATAATGTGTTGAAAAGGTGTCAGGACGAATTTTCTTTGAAGCAATGCTTGAAGCATGTTGATATTGAGTGTCATGACTGAACGACCTTCTGCTGTATTCACTTTGTGTTGCTCAGGTTGCTGTTGCTGCTGGTGCTCATGATCTAATAGGTGCTGATTGTCGAGAAGTTGCTTAAAGAAAGGCGCTTGTGAGACAATGGCTTGATGGACATCGAAACGCATTCTCAAAGGGAACATGGGATGTAAAAAGACAAGGCTCAGATCCGAGTACAATGCTTGTTCAAACATTGTTTCCAAATGGCGTTCCACTTGGGTCACATTCTTTTTCTTCATTGTCGACGACGCATACATAAGAAAACAAGGAGAGGGAGGAGAAAAGGGCCACACGCGATTTAATCTCACTGTCACATGATATCCATGCACCTTTGGACGTCGAACCTGCCCACCACCCACGACTTTTGTAATGATGATATCTTCCCATTCACACCTGATTACGTATCCATGGAAACGTGTATCTATAACTGCATCATGATACAAAGCGTGTTACTGTAGACATCATTTTATGGTAAAAAAAAAGAAGAAGCCAAATAAAGTAGAGTATTATCTTATCATCCCTGCTAATCAAAAGTTCTAGATGCATTATGTACGTGTTGATAAGGAACCAACCGGCAACATTGGGGTTGTATGTGTATATGTGTGTGTGCCTGTCAACCATTGCCATGCATGAAATTGTCCAATCTAAATTTGGCTGCCATATCACTGTCTTTTTTTTTCTTTGTCTCTTTTCTTTGTGCTCGTTGTTCACCCGCCACTACAATGCCACGACAAAAACAATCGGTGGTCATGCCAAGCCGGAAATCGCTCCACATTTACGAGAATTGGAAGGTGTACTCGCGCCAAGGGAAACTCATGTTCCGTTGCAACCAGTAAAGATCGAAGCCAATGACGAGGTCGATGGGTTGAGTAATGTATGTATCTTATTAGGAAGAAGGCGCGTTGGTACCTAGATAGAGAGCTTGCCGTGAAACGAGATAAAGAAGAGCGTGCTATCCAGTTGACGTTTGAAGCCAAAGGCCAAGGGCATGATGAAAATGACTACATGATCGAAGACCGGAAGAATATCTGCGTTGTGTGTGCATCACAAGCTGGCTTGACACTCCATCACGTAGTAAGTTTTTCTTTTATCCTCCTTTCATTCTACAGCTTCGATTGATGGCTTATGGATAGGTCCCTTATGTATATAGGCAATGGTTCCCACTGGCTATCAAGTCGAAATCGGTAAGCGGCGATGGTCATCATCCCAATAGACTTGCTTATATGACATTGTTGTAGAGTAGGGATTTGTTACTCTTGTGCAAGGAATGCCATGATCGATACGAACGCCATGCTACTGCTTTTAAAAAGTCTCTCGCTTTGGAACATGGAATGCCCATGGAAGGAAAAGGATGGATTGTCATACCTGAGCACCGATACATGCGCAAGACAGCTTCAGCTCTTTTATCAGCAGCAAACAAGATGCCTGTAGAACGTCGACAGCAACTGGAGCAGACAATATACGAGTTTTGGATGCAGAATGCTTCCTGGGAGAATCTTACATGGGGTCAAGTCTTGGAAAAGTGTGCTGCCTTTAAGGATATGGAACGTGGCCCTGGTTTTACTGAACATGGGGAAGGCGTTGTGCAGCATCTCATGAAGAACAAGTACATCACCGAAGAAGGAAACAAGGAAAGATGGCCAGATCTGGAAAAGTTTATCAAGCAATGGCGACAACACTTTTTAGATCATGCACAGCCGCATCATTTAAGTAGTAGATGGTCGGTAGATAGTGATATATATACCAATGGAGCATAAAGGATATCAAATACATCATAATGCTAAAAGGGAAGGGGGTATCCAAGGGGGCTCGACTAGTGTATCCATGGTAATTCTTCTTTCAGATCAAGATATACATAGATGCGGAATAGTGAGGAACAATGAATGAAGGCCTTCAGATCTCAAAGCTTACTTTTCCTTGACTAATAAGCCCTAGGTAATGTAAGGACACTTTCATTATCCCATGCACAGTAGTAGATGAACAATGAATCATTTTCTTTCGTATCCAGACAACGGCCACGTACACTTTTCATCCTCCTTCTTTTACTATGGCAAGCCAGAATACTCTTTTTCGACAACAGCAGCAGCTCTATCGATCTTCACATTACTTTGGAAAGCCCAAATCACCACCTCTCTATATAGAACAAGCCGATTCATACAATGGCAACGATCAACAAGGGAAAGGCAAGTGTCGGTTGACGAATCTCGACAAGGGCCATTATGCAATAGCTAATGGACTGAGTTTATCAATAATAGGACGTAAAAGAAGAGCATCTGAAGATGAGAGTATGGAAGACTTGAGCGATGGCGTCTCGTTTGACTTTTCACCGTCGCTTGAACGAACAAATGCTGCTACTACGACTACTGCGAGTACAACTACGGCTGATAATAAAAATGGACTACGACCGAAGCATGACAAGATCACCAAACGGAAACGGATAGGAGCTGAAAAACAGTTTCCGCTGGATAAACTACTTGGTATGTAATACAAAAGGGCAATGGGGTGGGAGAGGGAGACAAGACGTGAGAAATCGCTGACGCATTGTAATTTATATATATAGCTACATTGGACAAGGAACGACTGATCGATTTAATCAGTAATCTGGTGGATGCTCATCCAAGGCTGCACCCCGAAGTAGAGGAAGTCGCGGCTGCTTTACCCCACACATCAGGCTAATTAGTATTGTTTTCCCAAGCGTTTTCACATGTTGTTTGTCACATCCCCATTTCCATGTGTGTATCATAAAATGGTATTCCACCTGCATTTGTATGTGTGTGTGTGTGTGTATACGTGTATGGGGTCATCATGCATTAAACCCATTTGATTTTTGGCTTTTTTTTCTTTTGCGTCCCTTTTTTCTCTTTCTTTATTCAACAACAACAACAACATGACAATTCCTATTCAACAATCCACCGATGCTAATGCAAAGGCGGCGGCTGCTCGACTTGCTCAACTCAAACAGCAACTCACATTTACTCCTTCATCCATGTCCCTTCAGGCACCCACCGATATGGCAAACGAACGAGCTGCTGCCAAGTTTGATATCTTGACAATGGCTCATTTCTGGGCAGGTGGTGAACGCGATTATCGTCTTCTTGCAAGTTTCTTTATATAACATGCATACACACACATACACACATGATCCATCTGACATGTAAACATGTACATAGCAACAAGCTTTCAAGTTGATCAAGGTGGATCCGGAATTGGTGGTTCAACCTCCACGCAACATTTTGGAATTATCGAGATCAGAAGCCAGAGAATTGTGAGTGAGCAGACAAGGCCATCATCATCATCATATCTTACGGTCAGCATCCTTTTATAGCACAATGGGTCAAATCTATAGAGCCGTTCAATTACTCAAGGACCCTGTTATTAAGAGCCAAGAAGGATTACCAGAAGCCATCTTTATGGCATTGACCCAGTATTCAGAGAGCTATAGCATGCGTATCGGTGTACACAAGGCACTTTTCCGCAATGTCCTCTTGATGTTGGGTAGCGACGAACAACGAGATACTTGGTTACCAGCCGTTGACAATTATGAAATCCTGGGATGTTTTGCCATGGTACGTATAAAACTTGCCACGTATTCTCTACGTGATGTCGTTAACTCACCGTGTCATGTTTTAGACTGAACTTGGTCACAGCTCAGCATTGCGAGATATCGAGACAACAGCAACCTATGATCAATCCACCGACGAGTTTGTGATTCACTCACCCACCATTACTTCAACTAAGTGGTGGATTGGTATGGCAGGTCAATCAGCTACGCATACCATGGTCATTGCTCAAACCTATATCAATGGCAAACACGTTGGCCATAACTGGTTTATTGTGCAGCTGCGTGATCGTGCTACTGGTGAATTAATGCCTAATGTGCAAGCTGGTGATATTGGTCACAAAGTTGGACGTTCGGGCTTAGATAACGGGTTCGTATTATCTTAATGGATGATAAGCATCATACTAAGGTCTTTTTTTTATAGATGGATCCAATTCCAAAAAGTGCGTACGCCTCGAACCAACATGTTGGCGCGTTGGACACAACTTGATCGTGATGGCACCTATACACCAGCACCTTCACCCGCATTAATGTATGCCACCCTTATTCCCGAACGTGTCATGTTGGTGGCCAATACATTGGGAATGATCACACAAGCCGTAACGATCGCAACACGCTATGGTGTGGTACGTCGTCAAGGCCATCGCAACCAACAAATCATGGATTATCAATCGCATTATGGTAAACTGGTGCCTGCCATTGCGTTTTCATACATGGTGCGTTCGGCTATTACCACCATGGATGAACGATTCAAGATTTTGACAGCAGGTGGCAACATGGATCCCGTGGTGTACATTAATCACATGTCGGAAATGCACGCCATTTCAGCATGCATGAAAGGTCTTACAGGATGGTATGGTACCGATATTCTCGAGACTTGTCGACGTGCTTGTGGTGGCCATGCTTATTCTGCTTACAATGCCATTGGACAAATCATTGATGATTGGGGTGTCTTGACAACCGGTGGTGGTGATAATGTGGTCATGCTCCAGCAAACAGCCAAGATCTTGATCCATCAACTCAAGCAAAAGATCGAAGACGATGAGTATCCCGAATTACTCTTTAAGAGCTCAACGCATTACATCAAGCATGCCAAGGATTACCTTGCTTCCCCTGTTTGGAATGTCCGAGACGTTCGTTCTTGTGTGCAAGATTTATCCTTGATCGAACATTGTCTCTATGCCATCTTGGTCAAGCGAGTAGGTGTATACATACATCATGTTGTTGCTTTCAACATGTGAGCTCACGTTTACTACTATAGCTTAATAGCATTCGATTGGCTCTTGACAATGGCGCAAGCCAAGAGGACTTGCTTTTGGAATCGGTGCGTGTTGCTGAAATGCATGCTGCCGTCTTTTTGTATGCGGATGCTTTGACCAAGTTTGATCACTGGAATGCTTCCCTCAAGGATCAAGACTCCGCCAACATGCTCCGTCGCATGACATCGCTTTGGGGTTTCCATGTACTTTTAACCTACAGTGACCAAGGTTTCAAGGAAGGTTACCTTACTGCCGAACAAGTCAAAGGTGTGGAACGAGAATACTTGCAGGTAAAAAAAAAAAAAAGAAGGTGCGAGGTTCTCCTTGTTGACAATGTTACTCACAACCAACCTCTTTACTTTAGAGCTGTAAAGCACTGAGAAACCAAGTCATTGGATTGACGGATGCTTGGGCCTACCCAGACTTTGTACTTAAGGCACCCATTGCAAAGTACGATGGCAACATCTATGAAGGTATGTTGGTTGTATGGTGACTTGCGATAGCCGAATCATTCTAACATTATTTACATAGCTTACTTTGATACGTTGCTCATGGCACCCGGTAGCACAGGCGTCCCAAGTTATCATAAGACCTACATTAAACCCCTCACAGATGCAAATTAATGCTGTTTTGAAAAAAAAGTCAACCGATCCATGTAATAAAGCAGAGACTGCAAAGCGTATACCCATTGGTATTCAAGTTGATGCGACGAACCATAAACGCCTATATGTACTATTCAGGGCCCCATCATTAGATGGGCTGTATTGGCAGCCATCGTATCCTCGCCAAATTCCACAAAGCCGAGTGATGAGAATTACACCCTTCGTGTTGCCATATCAATTGAAGCAAGCCATGATGAGTAGGGTTAAGCGCGCCCAAAGCGGTGGTCTTGTGATCTTGCTCGTCATCAGTTTTGGATGACAGGGTCTCAGCTGACAAAAAGTAGCGGCACAAATGACCCCCGGAACGGAAGATCTCATCCTACAGCAGTAGCAAGAATATAGCTCTTTGCCCACTGTTTCTCTCCGCTGCTGACGCCACCCGTACTTGGCATGCAACGTAACCAATCATATTGTGTGCTTGATCTCGCGTAATAGGGATGCATATAGATGATGATGATGACTCGTGTCATCACCATGATGAAAATGGAGGTGGGTGAGGGATAATTTAAATGAATTGAATTCTGCTATTGTGATCTCTCTTTGGTTCTATAAAGTATTCAGGCGACAGTCTCCTGATCAAGCGCATGCTGACATTGAAGGTGGTACAAGCGCTGCTGCCCTTTTTAGAACTGAATTTTGTAACCTTTTTCTTTTTCTCTCTTTCTTTCATTTATTACCCACTCACACCCCACCTTCCTCCAACCCACGCATGTTCTCAGGGAGGAAAACCAAAGAGTTTTACATTGATCTTCAAGATAGTCGATATTACAATCCTGGTGAAGTTGTCCGAGGTATGTAATGGGCACGAGTGTGTAGGCTTTTGTAGCCTCTAAACAGGTGTTTGTAGGCGATGTGGTACTTGATGTGACCAAACCAACCAAGATTAATCATATCAAGATTGCATTGAGTGGCACTGTTCAAGTGGGATCCAATGTTTTGACATTGTTTACTCGTGAAGATGAAATTGCCAGTGACCCCAACGGATCGCATTTATTGGAAGCCAAGAGCAACCGATTTCCTTTTGAGCTTAATATTCCAGGGGCAAGTGCTGAGCTTCCAACAAGCATGAAAGTAAGATAAAAAAAAGAAACGCCACTCCCCACCTTGTGGATGATTGAACTAAAATTGGATCTTGTAAAAGCTGGGAGATGGTTCAAGTCATATCTCTTATACACTTTTGGCAACATTGAAACGACCCTTTGTACCAGCACCCTTGGCTCCAGAAGATACACGTGAAATCTCTGTCGTCGAAAGAATTGATGTATCCAATCCCGAATACGATCATCCTGTTCCCGACAATGAAGACGAGGAGGATGACAAGGTCATGGTAGATGGGACAAGCTTGAGTGTCAGGATACCCAAGGCTGCCTTTGTGCGAGGTGAGTATGGATGGCATTGTGATGAGCCCAATGACAAGATGGCTAATGCATGGGTGGATCATGCGTAGGTGACATCATGCCTGTATCCATTAAAGTGACATGTGCTGAGGATTTTGGGAAGGCTGATGCCATTCGTGTTGCTCTTGTTCGACGTTTCCATCTCTTTGGCAAGGGAAGGTAAGAAGCAAAAGATAAAGGAAATGGATTTTGGATCAAAAAACTTACATGGCTATCTACATATTTAGACGAGAATTGCTAGGAGAAGAGAATGCTCGTGAACCAATCTACCGGGATCTCATTGCAAATCCCGATAATAATCACGCTTACGAATCGACCATCAAGATGTTTATTCCACCAGCATCCCCACCTACTACAGGATCAAGTGGACGCATCTTGCGTGTGGAATACGCAGTGCAGGTGTCAGTGGATATGAATTTGGCAAGGAAAAACGATGGTGATTGGAGGTCGTCATTGGTAGTGCAAAAAGAAATCCCTGTCATCATTGGGACAACCCCAAGAGCAGATATCTCCATTGATGACGAAGATGATGAACAAGAGGAAGTTTGCGAGGTCCAAAATGAAACAACAAAAAAGGTTGTCAATGGTGATGCAGCACCACCCATTTCCGATAACAGCAATATCGATGATACAAACGATGATGATGATGCTCCCACAACCACACACAATGAACCAAAACCCGATTTAGATCACGAAGAAGAAGAAATACCAAAGCCCCAACATGGCATTAACCATGATCAACGGCATCATTCTAGTGCCAGCATGCCATCATTTGAAAGCGAATCAAATCAACAACGATATGGCACAATGCATTCGGCAAAAGACGATCCTCATCACATGACCCCACCACCCTTTGAGCAGCAACAGCAGCAACCTGTATGCCAATCACCTGCATCCTTTTCTCATCATTCATCTTCTTCTTCACCTTACATCCCTGCTGCCACTACTTATCCATCGTTTGATCATTCGCCTCCTCCTCCTCCTCCACAACATGTACCTACCACCACTGCAAATCATTATTTTCCTCCTGAACCACACATGTCATCCTATCCCGAACAACAACAACAACAACATCCTCCACCAAGCTCTGTAGCCCATTTTCCTTCTCCAGCTTCAACACCTTTCATGCCCATGCCTCAACCTATTCCAATCCATCATCAGCATCATCAACCACCACCAATGAATATGATGCCAGTGCCTGAATCTTACACTTCTCATTCACCCTCCTATCCTCCCGCATTTCCATCACCCACTCCTCCTCCACCCCCAGCACCACATGGATATCCTCACTTGTCACACAAGTCATCGCATGAATCATGGACAATGCCTACTCCTTATCAATAACCATAATAACGCATTTGACAATCCCCTCATTGGTGGGCTTTATAGACGTTTATTGCTTCCTTTTTTCCATGGTCTTATAATTAAAGAAAAGTAGACTGGTTGAGTTTAGGTAAATACAACATGAATGGGTCGAATTCAAAGGGTCTGTGCATGTTCAAGTTGTTGCCGCGTATCAGCTATAGTTTCATTGATCACTTCCCTCATCACCTATCAAATCAACAATGGTCGTATTCTTCATTAAAGAATATAGTAGTCGTAATGATGTATGGTTGTTCTGGTTACCGCCATTGAAAGAATGATGCCCTACCAAAGAAAACGGAAGCCAATAATGCTAATGGGGTCGTAGATGCCTCATTAAGTAAACTTTAAACGACGTTGCTCTCAACTTTGTAACCTATTACTAGCAAGGGGATCATCATCAAACGTTAGACTATGCATCATCTTTGGACCGGGTAAGGAGACGACTCACCATGTCAGGGATACACTCGTTGACCACACTGGGCATATTAAGGATGTCATATGAGCACTACTACTGCTGCTGTATGTCTCCTAAACATGTTGATTGTTTTGCGAGGAAGAGAAGAAAAAGCAAAGGGGAGGAGCAAAGGGGAAGAAAAGTAGTATTTCCTCCCTAATGTCGTGTGAAATGTATAAGATACATAGTGACCAGCACACATTTATTAAGAAGCAATCTTCTTTCTTTCATCCTCTACATCTATTACATCTCCCAGATTTTGCAACACTATCACTTGAAAACCATGCGCATCTTTGCTCTTAGTCTTGTCTTGGCAGCAGTTTACAGCTTACAAATGGTCGATGGACAACCGCAACCAGAACCCGACAGCGGCAATGTGCTCTGCAGTAAATTAGTTAGCGGTGAACTCGATGGGTTTACAAGATCTATCATGGAAGAATTATGCGAAGATGGGGACTTTGGTACGCAAGGATCAGGATGGTTTTAACCATTTGACGTTGGAAGAAGGATCAAAGAGAATTCTGGTGGCGTGCAATGATACCTCTTATACATGCAGCAATGATGCGCGTCGAAAGAAACCCGAAACTATAGCATGCAACTAGCCTCCTTCTTTACTTTCACTGTAGTTGTCATTATATCATACCATATGATAGTAGTAATTAAAGTGCTGATAGTAGCTCCCGACATCATCATCTATTATAACTCCAATTGTCGTTCAAAGAAAAGCTAGCCATTATAGAACATTGTATTGCACGAATGGTACCATTTTTATTGTGTCGATAGATAAAGGGGATATGGCATAATGATTTGTACCTTACGTCAAAGTGAAGATAAGACATCCAAGCGTGATCGGGTATGTTTCACAGCTTTGAGATTCCGCATAAGAGTTGCCGTTGTCCATCTCTTTACCTCGCTTTCTCTCTTAACGGCACGATATGGGGTTGTTCAAACGTAGACGCCAATCCAACACTCATTCAACACCAAAACGCCAGCATTCGGATCAACGTGTCGACTTCACCAGTAATCTACTATCAGACGAACTTGTACTCCATATATTCAGTTTCCTTTCCGCCAACGATCTCACACGCTGTGCCGCTGTCAATTCCAGCTGGTTTCGACTAGCTAATGACGAGCTGGTGAGTAAACGAAAATGAATGCAGTCTTCATGTATGTTAACAAGCAAAATACCAGCTATGGAAACCTCTCTTTTTACGACGATTCCACAATGGAGGAGGCTATGCTAGAGCAACCACTCGACGACAAGATACAACAAGTCCTGAATCAAGGTGGAAGACACTGTATAGAACCAATCACAATTGGCGAAGTGGTAAGTTTGTGTGTGCGTGTGTGTATATGGATGTGCGACATGCATACTAAAGGTTGTGTGATACAGGCAATTGTCGAATAACGCAACTCGACTTGCATGATTCAAAGCAGTATCAGCAACAGCGACAGAGACCATTAGTGCAGTTCAACCGTGATATTTTATGTTTGGCATCCATATCTGATTCTCGCATTGAAGTATGGCGTATTGCTACCAATGATAATCCGCAACCTGTGTTACTTGGTCAGCTCGCTTGCCATGACGACAGTAGCACCTTATGTCACATCACGTGCCTGAAATTGCAAGTAATGGATCATTCACAGTATCGGCTAGTGGCTGGTTACGATGATGGTGGATTCTCGTTATGGACAATGGAAATCAAAGATCACCCAACATCATTTGCTGCGAGACAATTGACGCGTTATACGCCTCCCTATCGATTGGGAAGTCATCAGGCCATTGAAGCTATTGGGCTCTCATATCCAATGGTCCTCATTTGTACCAAGGGGATGAAATTATCAGCGTTTTGCATTGATGACGAACAAGCTGCAATGTCTCCTCGACTTGTATACGAATTACAGAGCCCTATTCGATGGAATCCTATCGTTGTGGAATTGGATCAATGCGATAATAATCGATGGCGTGGCATGGCTTGTTTTGGTATGCCTGTGGGATTGAATGCATTTTCAGTTGGCATTCAGGTATGTATAATGTGATCCATGAAGCGGTGTAAACACGCACGCTAATCCACAATTAGGAAGTGGTGTTTTCATCACATGGTATCATATCATCACGGCATTGTACAGCATTGAACGAGGATGACTTCTTTTTTACGAATCACGCACGACGACCCTCACAAGATGCGCTCGAACCCATCACTGCCCTTGCCTATTCACAGCCTTATCTCATGACAGCACATGGCAACAATACCATTAAGCAATATCACGTTCATCTTTCCAGTGAAAAGCTTGAATTGCGGTTTGCAAAGACGTTATACGGACATACATCTCGGGTATGTGCATTAGCCCTGGATGCGTCTGTGAGTCGGCTAGTGAGTGGTGATCGATACGGACTCAAAGTATGGGACCTATCAACGAGTGACAATGACAAACATCCATCCTTTCGGAACGACGAAACCGATCACCATAGCAACGCTTATCGACTCGCACGTCATCGACTCGGTGGAAATGAATACTTGGTAGCCATCGATGCTACTACTGCAGAACATCGCGCAACTTTGGACGTCCCCTCTTGTGATATGAGGTGGCTACATTTCGATAGCGACAAAATCGTGGCAGCAATACGGGATGAAAGCAGTAGCAACTTGACATTGACGTCCCAGAAACGAACTTTGGTGCGCATTTGGTCCTTTTCTTAGATACCCTACAACCACTCTATGATTTGTATATATATTCCTATTAAAGAAAAACAAACCAGTCATCTCCCGCCGTGTATTATTAAACTCTTACAAAGTCCAAATGATGACAAAAAGGAACGTGTGTTATGACGTTGTAAACACATTAATGAGGGGGGCGCATAAGTTGTACAGTCTTTGTTCAAGACACAGTGAATCAATCACACCCTTTCTCTTCCTCCTTTTTCCTTTATCACATCAAAAGTGGACATACGACTCAGGAAGGTCTCTTACACTATAGTAATCCAGTGATAGATGGCAATGCAATTTCATATCCGGTAAGGTGACCCTTTAATCCAACATCATTCACAAGAGACAATTGAGAGGTACACACCCATGGGGAAATACATCGATATGGGAAGCTTCTATCCTTTGGGCGAGCATTGTGCAAAGATGGATGTGAAGTGCCGCTTGATACGTGATGGCGAATCATATGCATGGCGTGCCAAAACATGGAGTTGGATGATGATGGTCGTACATGTTAGGTAGGATGTACATATAAAGGATGATGATAGTAGCTGCCATGGAATAGCGTGTAGTGCACGATAATTGGACGCATCAATCGTTCAGGATGATACCATGTGCGCATAAAGGTCAAGTTCACAATGGAGACATAAGAAGAAAGCTCCTTTTCTACGCGTCGTATATATCCAATTCCTTCCACTCCATGCACCAAAGCAAGATCCATATCCATAGCCATAGCCATAGGAACTCGTATGTATTGAAGCAAGTTGCTACACGTAAATAAAGCTGCTGCTCTATAATGGCTATCTGATGTTCACGTGAAAAAGCCCGTAAGGCAAGTTGCTGCAAGTAACTTGATACAATGGGAGTATAGGCTTTGCTAAAAGCAACTACTGGAATGAATGCTGTTGCGTGTGGTCGTGGTAGAGGGGTGTACAAGAGAAGGTGTAGCATCAAAACCATTCGTGTGCTGTAGTGGAGTGACATGAAGGCTGTGTACACGCCATGGACTTGCCATTCAGTCAAAACAATCGGATCAGGACATTCGTAGGATTGTCATGATGGGTTGAAGCAGGACAATCGTTCGCAGGTGGTAGTTGTATACTTGAATGGGCTAAGAGTTGAGAATGGGGTGGAAGAGGCAAGGTGGGAGTGGAAGAGGTGGAAATTAAAATGAGTTGAATGCTATTCTTTGTTTGAGTGTTGCTGCATCAAATCCTATCGGATCAAGAAAGTTGAAGGATGGACATGTTGGCCTGGAACAGAGGAACCGTTCACATGCATTGGAATGGGCAACAAAGGTGAATGGGAGGAATGGCCTATTAGCTGGCAGTTTACAAATAACTTACATCAATTTGATTCTTCTGATATTGGATGATACTTCTGTGTTTGAGCGTTTTTCAGTCAAATCCCATCGGATCAAGAAAGTTGAATGATGGGCATGCTGGGCTGAAGCAGGACAATCGTTCGTATGCATTGGATCGGGTAACAAAGGTGAATGGGAGGACTAAGGTTATTAGCTGGCATTTTGAACTCTTCCTAAATAGTGCACAAGTATCATGCATCGCCTGTGCTGAATGACTCAAGTTACACAACACGCCCCTCTGCATCTTTGGCTCTCCAACGTCTACCTACTTGACAATGAACAAAGACCTCTTTTCATATAGCATCACGCTTACAGCACATGTAAGACATAAAGACGCCTGTATCTCTAAACTTTACAATCTAACGTGGGGTCTTTAATAGAACAACCTGCTCGGCTGGGTGAAACGCATCTTGTGTGGTAGTTTCACGATCGTGGTGGCCAATCCCAGATTTCGCAATGTCGCCACCAGCCAAACTGGATCCGGGGGTCGACCTCTTCGACGACGACGACCAAAAAACTATTTTTTGGGCTAGTTGCGACATTGAACGTGAAACTTTCACACAAGGTGCTGCTGGCCAAGCCGAGCCCATTGCTCTATCAAACCCCCACGTTTCATTGTAAAGTTTGGAGATACAGGCACATCTATGTTTGTAAGCGTGATGCTATAAGAAGAGTGGTCTTTGTTCATTGTCAAGTAGGTGGACCCTGGCAGAGCAAAAGATGCAGAGGGTCGTGTTGTGTAACACAGCTACGTTTGCATGAATGAAAAGGTCAATGTTTAATTACTTTATGGATCATCTAGGAACAGGCATGTATTGCTAGCTAACGGCCACTTTTATCCAATCATCATTGTTGCGAGATCCACTGCATGGGAACGATGCACCTGCTCTAGACATTCATTTCCATGATTAAAGTAGGTTGGTCCGAGCTGATTTGACTGAGCTGCGGTCAAAGAGAGATTACATCACTCTGGACATAGAGTACGCTCGATGTAGCTCAACCGATGTAATCTTGTGTGAGCGTAACTCAACCAAATCAGCTCGGATCAACCTACTTTAATCATGGAAATGAATGTCTGGAGCAGGAGCATCGTCCACCTACAATAGAATGCACAAAAGTTGGGAATGCACAAAAGTGGCTATTAGCTGCCAATGTATGACATAAAAGGGAGGGTTGCGTACCTGTCATGCATTGCCCCTGAAGTCCTGACTTTTTAGCTGAGTTACCCAAAGAGGTCCTTCTGCATCTTTGGCTCTCCAGAGTCTAGCTACTTGGCAATGAACAAAGACCACTCTTCATATAGCATCACGCTTACAAACATAAATGTGCCTGTATATCCAAACTTTACAATGAAGTGAGGAGTCTTTAAGAGAACAAGCTGCTCGGTTAAGTCAAAGCGATCTTGTGTCAAAGTATGAAGTTCATCGTGGCCATTCCCAGATTTCGCAATGTCGCCACCAGCCAAACTGGATCCTGGGGTCGACCACTTGAATTTTTTTTCGACGACCAAAAAATATTTTTTGGGCTGTTTGCGACATTGAACGTGAAACTTTCACACAAGGTGCTGTTGGCCAAGCCGAGCACATTGCGCTATCAAAGACCCCACGTTTCATTGTAAAGTTTGGAGATACAGGCACCTTCATGTTTTACCTATGCTGTAAGCGTGATGGAGTTGCTTTTTCCTAGTGGATGGTATCGGCTGCATTAACGGAAAGATGAAGAGTTGAGTGAAACGGCACGTGGTGGTTACACAGACACGTCCTTGACAGGTTGCTACACAAATGAATGATGACGATGATTGCCTTTTGTGAAGGTACGTAAGTAAACAGCATCCAATAATGAAGGTGTGTCAGGGTATGCATCACATTTGCATGTAGAAGAAAGTTGAGCTGCATAAACCGATTTGTATATGTAAAAAGATACGTATACATATTGAATGAGTCACTCATCCTGAAACTCAATGGAGGGATCTCTTCACTTTTTCTCTTCTCAAGCTCATCCCACTTCCCACTCCTCCTTATCGCATCGCGAAAGCCATATACTTCTTGCATGACCGATACGGTAACCGGACCACCTTTATTATTCCATCTTCGAAGCAATAGTATGTAATCCACAAGCTAGCAACCTCCAACAAGCGTGTAATAAATAAACAATGCTTTATTTCATCTAGCTATCTTGCTACTGTACATTGCCACCACCATCGTCGTAGTCGTCCTCCGTCATCATTCGTATTCGTACTCGTACTCGTCACCAGTCGTCAATCTCATCCGTCACACCAAACATCCAAAAATACAGTACACAAGATGAAAAGAATGGGATCTTGCAGGCTTCCTTTTGAATCTCGTTGTCGTCATCATTGTCATTGTTGTGAATGAGGTAATCGTCGTAATCGTCGTCCCTACAAATAAGAAAGCAGGCATGTTAGACACCATCTGGTATCAGAATGATGACGCTTTGGTATACCGTTAGGCGATCCTCTCTAAGGAAGAAAGCAAATCAGAAGGAATTCACAAACCAAATCACCACCATACGAGCAACGTCGGGCGATCCTTTGTTCTTGAGAAAGCACTGCACGAATCACACAAGGCCAGTTCGATCCATGGCAAGGAAGGACATCACTTACGTAGAGTCCAGGCTCATAGTTGTTCTCATTCATCCTCTCCAAAGAAAGAATGACCCCCAATCCTTCCAATCATTTCCCCACCTCATGAAAAGAAATCCTCAAGGGAAAGACCGAGCCTATCACGAGAAGGGCGTGTTGGTTAAACACATTCACAAGCTGTTGCAAATCCCCTTTTACCTCAACACGGTGACCATGCTCTTCCAAAAATCCATCATCATCGACCCATCAACTCAAACGCAGGCCCGTAGAGTCCTGGACGCGCTCCAAGTGCTTGATACAGGCTGGGACTTGAACCCAAAGAGATGATGATGATGCCCCCAAGTTGCATCGCCTGATCAAAGAAACCTATTCAATTCATTATTAGCACACACACAATAAACACCCTTTTCAGTGTTTGTTTCATTGTACTTGCCTTTTCCATATACACAAAGACCCGTTGCTGTTGGTTACTGGAAACCGAAAACCATGGTGTAGTATAGTTGAGCCGAAACAAACGCCAAACCAGCCAACGTCTTGAGACCAAACTTGCCCTCTATATAAGCTAACACGTCAATGGAACAAGTTACAGTGCAACATTGCGCTCTGCGTGTACCTGTTGACACCAAACATAGAACGGGAATAGCAACGAACAAGAGGAAGCAACGGTATCGCCATGGCAACCACCAACCACCAACCACGCTCATTCCTCAGCACTTGGACGCACTCACTCCCTGGCAATGGATGTTCAGAACTACATTAATACCTCACAGCCAACAAGAGCATTCTTTTACAATACATTACCTTGATCGAGATGTCGTGAATGGGATAAAAGGAGAGGAGGGAGAAAGAGAAGAAAAAGCGTTGTCTCAAGTCGTGGAGCTACCGTCCCCCAAGTTTAAATCTCCCTACTGCTATTACACTGAGGCCACTCACTTATCCCACATACACCATCTACCCATCATCATCAGCACCCTCACGATAGACAATAGGTACAAAATAAAAGAAATGATCCTCACGTATAGCAAAAGGGTGTGTGTCATTTTACACTTTACATGATAATGATGATCCAACAACAGCCATTGGCTTGCTACCAGGTCCCCACGCATCCGTCTTTTTTACTCACCCCAATCTGAAGCATCTTTTTTCCTACGTACAGTATGGGCTATGTATCTCAACTGATGCAATCCTCCGTTTGACCGTAGCTCAGTCAAATCGGCTCGGATCAAGAAACTTGAATCATGAAAATACATATCTGGAGTAGGAGCATATCACATCCAGTGGATTAGGCAAGAGTTTGGAATGGGAGCAAATGACTATTAGTTGACAATTATGTACCGGAAATCAAAGTTCACGAATGAAGCGAGCAACCAAGGCCACTAGTGTATATGTATTGAAGAATAGGGTAATTGTATGTATAGATAATCAGTGGGGTATCCTTTTCTAGAGATGGTAATGTATTCATGGTGATGGTTCCCTTCGTCGACGACGTACTTGAGTGGCTGATTGGATTGCTTTAAAGTTATCCATATCAAGGTAGTATTCACCTAGCACATGTTGGAGGTTGTTGAACCGCTCTTCCAAGAATTGTACCCGATCAACGACATTTTCTAATTTCTCCATGGTTGGATCAATGCTGGTTGGCGAAGAGGGGTCTTTGGCATAACGAATGTCTGACGCTGGAGGACATACGTTGGCTGAAGGTGGCGGTGCTTCAATGTTGGATAATGCAATTCCAACACCTTCATCTTCAGATGATGCCGGGGATGAATCTGCTGATTTGTCATAGCGTCGAGTGGTATGGAGCAATGGCTTGCTTGGTTTACTACTCGTCATTTCGTTGGTCGTATTACCAGAGTTATTGCCATTGCTTCTTTTAGATGCAAGTTTTCGAGAAACACGTCCACTAGAGAATGCAACCGTATCCAAGAGACCCCACGGCGAGTGACGCACCATACCAAACAATAGAGCATACACAGCCGTAATGGCACCATAGGCACCACCTGCAGCAGCTAAAGCTGACAAGAGACTATGTTGTCGCTGCTCCGTCTATGTAGATGATGAAAAGTCAACCAAGGATGCTACACATTACGCGACAAATGGCTCTTACGTACCCTGACATCATACTTGGCTTTAGCTAATTGCACTGAAAACATGCCATGATAATCCTTGATGTATAGCAAATAAATGAGTGGGCCCAAAATTACAGTAGCATGCATGTTGACTTAAGCTTACCCCACTCGTAAGGTTGACGTTATCCTCGTAATGCATTGGCCAATTCATTTCAGTCGTATCGATTGTGTAAATATCCACAAAAGTTGGTTCCTTTTTGGTAGGCTGATGTTAATGGAGATTGTGGTACATAAGAAATTTGAGCAATCACACTTACAAAACCAAGCAAAGAAGCACCATCAGCAGGACGAATGGCACGATATTTCATGGGCGAGAAAAAAATAGCACTTGTCCAATTTACCAAGGACGTTGAGCGTGCATCACCTTGTTGCATCTCTGTATAAAATTGTTTCTATATACACACAAGGTAAGCCTCTCCCATTTTCTTTTATGTTGAATCTACCCCTACCTCTTGTGGTATCATGCTGTCTAGCACAGCATCGTTCCATGGGTTGAATCGAGGATCATAAATTTGGATCGTCACAGTGGGAATTGATATACTTGCTTCCGTGACATTTTGGACACTATCCAGCTTCCAGTATATATCCACACGTCGTACTTCAGGTGCATCCTCATCATAATCTTCTTCAACGCCGTATTTGTAGGCTCCTTCAGTATCCAGGAGATAGCATTGGGATTCAGTGCCTTCTTCATCACCCTTGGTTACATAGCCGTTACAGTCCTCCAGTGTGCTGTATGACCAATTCATGTGCATCATGTCACATCGTGGGAATGTGATACCACTATCTTGAGCACAGATTTCAACAAACGGAACTTCGTAAGGGCTTTGCATAGGCTCCGTAGATTGACGCAGGAGTGTCTTGTCGAATCGGACCTAAAGAATTCACCATAAATGGAAAGCTGTGTGATCAGCGGCGCGTGTCGTTACGAAGAGAGAGGTAAAAAAAGAGAGCAAGAGATCTGCTGTATAACCTTTTGGTCATCCCCGCTCTCCACACACATGTCCAAAAGCACACACGCGACCCCTCATGCAATCGTTTCATAAACAACATACCTGGTATATGATGTATACACAATATGCAAAGAAAGCCAGAGCCAATACAACTGCCACCGCCATGCGTGCGTATGCGATTATTCTCGATTCATATGGCTATGGTGATCGATGGTAAAAATAAACTTGTTAATACCCATTGTTGGAGAAGGGATCATGGTATACGCCAACGTACCCGACGATGGAATGCTTCGAAAACAAAAAACATGCTGATGTATGTACAATGATCACCGATTTGGAAAGCGATGACACAAAAGAGAGGAAGGGAGTGAGAGGAAAAGAGAGAGAGAGAGAGAGAGAAAGAGAAGGAACAGATGTCATCTGGCGTATTGATATACAAGTACTGCTTGGCTTAGCGGTCTCTCTCGGTTACTAGTGTACACCTTGTACGACCCAAACTTGTGGCACGGATGAGCCACTTTTCACCTTACGATCTCTCTTGGCACATGAAACTTTGTACAAACTATATTCAAACCCTTCATGCGTGTGTTGCATATGAAAACCTTTCATTGAGTTTTGTTTTTTTTGGTGGGAGAACAGCAAAAGAGCTGAGTGAATGCTACAAGTTGTAAGAGTAATTCATCACGTTGTTGTTATTGTAAGTCTGTGCGCATGAATGTAGAAAAAAAAACCTGCAATGGCGGCTTTTTGCTTTTCTGGATATGGGAGCTGCAAATGAACCCACCAATACATCTTTAGTAAGTACCCCATAAGCTTTGTCAACATGCCTTCTCCATCCTCAAGTGTCACAAAACGACTGCGCGATATCCAAAGTTTTGTTTTTATTTCATCATTATTAGGATTGTGCACCTTACTAAGGAAGATTGTGATAAAGTATGTTGAATGTAGTATACGTTCCAAGGATGTGGAATTCATTTGCGTGGATCATCTTCGTACAACCATCCACCAAGTACGTCTCTACTGCTGTTGTCCCGTTTAGCAATGCTAGGATTGCCACTACTGGTAGAGGATCGATGAAGCCATGGCACACCTCTTGTCCGCCTACGACGTACGTCTCGCATCTGATCCAAAAAGTCCATGTTGATATAGTACTCTCTTAGCACCTCTTGCATTTCCAGCATGCGAGTCTCCAAGTGTTGTATCCGATCACGATCGCCATGATAGGGTGGATCGGTGGTATCAGGAGAAGAAGGTGGTTGGTGATGGTAAAGAGGTGGAGGTGGTGATGGATGATCATCGGATGATTTACGACCCAAAGAAGGAAGAGGTGTTGATTCCACAATAGCCATTTCTACTTCGTCATCATCAGAGCTGCTATTATTTTGAGGAGGACGTGGAGGAGGAAGTGGTGATGATGATCGAGAATGATGATCATTACTAAGTAATCGTTGTCGTTTGTTTCTTTTATCGGACACCTTGTCAACGGCACGCACTACAGTCAAAGGAAGTTGATGAACCATGCCCCATGGAGAATGTCGCACCATGCCAAACATCACAGTGTATAAGGTCGTAATAGCTCCATAAGCTCCGCCTGCTAATGCCACCGCTGATAGTAATGTATGTTGTCGTTGCTCGGTCTACAGCGACAACAAATGAGCATCGTTGCTAGGTTTTATGCGTGGTTGCTATGTTGAAACAAGCTCACCTTGACATCATAGGTCGCCTTGGATAATTGCACCGAAAACAATCCATGGTAATCCTACGTAGAAAGTTTCGATTAATCTCATGCAAGGATGGCACAAGTTGCAATGAAAACTTACACCACGCGTTAAATTAATGTTGTCTTGACGATGCATAGGCCAATCTAATTGGGTGGATGATATCGTATAGATATCAACAAATGATGGTTCCTGGGTGATGATGCTGTTGTCAACAAGCCATTGTTGTTAACTATGTTGATGATCATCCTACTTACAAATCCTAGCAAAGACCCAGAATCATGCGGTGGTATAGCACGGTATCTTGATGGTGTAAAGAACAAAGTGCTGGTATAATTGCGTAGTGACGTTGATCGATAGTTTCCTTGAGTCATTTCGGTTGAAAATGCAACCTGTATATTAAAAAGATCAGCTTTCATCAGCTTCGAAAATCATATTGCTACCTCTTGAGGGATCATATGGTTCACAGCTTTTGGATCCCATCTACTGAATCGAGGGTCGTAAAGCATGATCGTAATAGATGGAATGCCAACACTAGCTTCAGTAATGTTTGAAAGAGAATTGATGAGCCAATAAATGTCGATACGACGAATTTCTGGTGAGTCAGGTGCTGGGGTTTCTTCGACGCCATAATGCAAAGTGCCATTGACCTCAAACAGGTAACACTGGCTTGGAGACCATGTCGAGTTGTCACCGAATCGGATCTTGTCGTAGCAATTTGGGAGTGAGACAGTTGTCCAATTCATGTACATGACGTCGCATTGCACAAACGTAAGTGTGGTGCTTTGGCCGCAAATTTCAATATGTGGAACCTCGTATGGTGATACCATGATCTCGGTTGATAAACGCAAGAGCGTCTTGTCATACCTTATCTATGATGGATGATAGCATCATGTATTGAGATAAGCGGCTGCTACATGATTCAAAAGTGCATCTTCTTACCTGGTAGATAAGGTATCCGATATATATGAAAAGTAATAAGCTGAGGACTACTGCCACAAAGATGCGCGTGTAGCTGAGCAATTTTGATTCTAGAGGCTACATTGTTGTCACATGCTGATGCGGTTGATTATGTTACAGTCGCGTCAAGGTAAAAATCTTATATATTTACCCGTCGATGAAATGCTTCGAATACAAAATACATTTAGGTGGAAATCTATCACTGTAACATGGAAAAAAGGAAAAGAAAAAGGCGAAAAGAGGAGCAACAAGGAGCAAAGTTTTTATGTTTTAGGCCTGGGTCACCACCTCTGGCTTAGTGTGCATGAGCGGAACATGCATGTTTGTATCACTGCTGCTGCAATGATTCAACTCTCCACTACATTGAAACTGGAAACATCGACTCTGGATAACGCTTTGATTGGATAATCGAAGCCCCATTATCACTATCATCACCACTTTCCTATTGCCAACCAGCAGGGCATATGCGCGCGCTCGCCCCCTGCCGAACCTGTATGTAGCATGCGAGTGGCACAAGACACAAGATACATCTTGATGGTAAATGAAACCCAACACTTTGGTTAACGCGCTCTCCTATTTAAAGGCGCCCATGTGACGCTTGCTTACTGTGTAACTATGGAACAACGTGACACAAGGAGACGATCCGCCACAACAAAGAGGGGATTCCTGCAAAATAGCACGCATTGCTAAGCATCTATATTTGTATGCAGCATCTGATCTCTATTTTCATATACGTGTAGAGTGGCTATAGCACGCTTTGATCTATGCCAAGAGCCATCGAAAGCGTAGAAAGGTGGGCTTGGCAAACTCACTCCCAATGTACGCTGGTGGTCTTTGTCAAGTCGCACCAAAAAATGTCATCATTATCGACATCCTTTATCAGTTTAGAGTTCCGGGTGCCTGGACAAATTGGTAAAAAGCTGTCCGACATGCCATGTATGGGACGCTTGCGACCATAAATCCAGTAGACGTGTGTGCCGCCACTATTGTGGCGCACAAGTATTGCTTCAATGCACCTTTAAATGATAGCAATGGCCTCGTAAGCTGCAACATGGAAAATGCATAAGTAGCTTTATGATGCATAATGCCGTTCATTTGTAACATAGCATGTTCCCAATCCTGAGATGTCAAATTAGATGGTGGTTGTTTCAAGATTACTACAACGTGATGAGTATCAACGAATACCTTGCGTCCACTTGTTGCTCCTAGGCATGTAACTATGTATATGGTCTCGTCATTCTTGAGCTTTTAATAAGCACTGGGTCCTGTGCACTCTGCTGCTGTAATGATTGAATCGGCAACATACAATGAAAAATTACTTATTCAGAGACGAAGAGCGCTCCATCGATTACACCAACCCATGAGCTAACATACCGCAATGCAATATCCGAGCATTCGGAATCTACTGGTGACTAAGAATGGTCGAGTGCAGTACTTGACATTATCATCCCATCAGCTTAGCGATTGCGGAGAACGCGCATTGCAGTATCAAAGAAATCATTGGCTAATGCTAAGTATGTTACCAATGCATAACCCAGCTATAGATACCATTGGTAGATGTGCTGCTGTTTCCTATATCTCATCACTTTGACAAATGTAGAAGCCAAGAATGCGAGTATTACTGAAGCCGATTCCCTTTGAATCTTCTTCCCAATAATGAGGGCCAACGTGTAGCGCTGCCAATTTGAACGCAAAGATCCCAAAATGTGTTTACTGTTACTACTACATAGTAAGCATCATCATGTATCATCACAAGCGAAAATGGCAACTCACCCTTTTTACATTCACTGTCATTCTCAATAAAGCTATGCTTCCCGATCATTTCGTATCTTGTACACGATGTAAAATGATTCCAGTGTGTGTTACGATGTACATTTTTTTGCCGTGTCAAACATACTGTACACGAAAGCTGAGTGGGGCAATGCTGGCCTATGGCGAGAAGGGTGAGCACCACAGATGAACAACGTTTGTGTTACATGAGTCGCCGCATAATTTTGTAGTGGGTTGATTGGATCACAACACGTCCAAGTGCAATGGGCAACCTTTATTTCTCTCTTCTGGGCCTTGGGTCAATCTTGGTTCTATGCATAACAGGAAAAATGGAAATCCTGCATGCCGAATGTGCAACTTGGATTAGCCAATCATTTGTTTAATATGTTGCTGCGCCCACTTGTAATGCCCTTTGGCTACAGTTTACTGCATCGGGCGGGCCTTGCGATCATTACCCATTTTGGCCAACTCCACTTGTAACACGGGCAACGAAAAAAAGTTAGATCCAAGTCCAAAAAGGCTTTTCACTCTCTCACTCTCTCACTCTTTCCTTTATCTTTTCCCTCTTTCTTTATACCATATCTTTGGAACCATGGGTTCATCACTACGCGACAACCCACTTTTTAAGACCAAAGAATCCATCGCCACACTTTCGGTGATAAGCCTCGAATGTATCCTCATTTGCATTTTGGAGGGTCTGGTCGTCAAAAATCACCTTGCACTTGTCAGCAACTGTCAAATGGATAGCGTTGGCCAAGGTGAGAAAGCGAAAACAACATCATCTTTCCATGTTCAACTTAATATTGATCACGCCTTTTTAGGTGTCAGCGAATCCGATTTGATCTATCACTCGCTTTTCATTGTCTCTCAAGCATTCCAGGTACTTTTATGTGTCGATGCCTTGCTTCAAAAGAATACAGGTACACATACCCCAAATGGCTCCGGCTGCTGTATGGCTAACCATTAAATCCATGTCTAGCCCAACTATGCACGCTCGTGGCGTTTGGATTATTGGTAGTAGGTAATTATCACTCTTTTTAATTGGTCCAAGCCGCATCCATGAGGCTAACATGTATGATTTTTGCGTATGTGGCAGTGTAAGGCTGTTTCTATATTCGTAGGTTGCCAAAGTTTGAAGCACTGACAAATTTACCTATGCAGCTACGGAGGTATCCAAATCCAGCAACACATGATCCTTGAACAAGTGGGTTGGTATGTAGTGTACAACAACGATACCTTTTAGCACTTAGGCTAAATAACGTATACAGTGGCTCTCAAGAATTGTGGAACCCCATTGATCCACGGTGGCCCAATACACCTGCTGGGCAGGATATGGCTATTGATTACTATCGTGATCGTATTCGACCTCTTGAATACGCCATCATTGCATTGATCCCATGCTTTTTTGTTGCCCTTGCATTTCTTGCATGGAGATTACGAAAGGAGTTTGCTTGGGACAACTATCGTACCTTTTCAGCTGATCTTCGGTAATACCAATACATCAATAATCATGATGATGGCAACAGGCTAACGAGTTGAAACATGAATAGAGTACGCAGCGCATTGATCACAAGCAGCGTGTTGTTGACATTACTCAAGCTCGACTTTTACTTTGTCTTTTCTTTTGCTGCACAATTGATCCCATCGCAAAAGCTGCAATATGACGAGACCGTTACTGAGACTGTGCTTGTATTTGTTTTAGGAGCATTGGGTTTGACACTTGCAATCCTTGCCGTGTACCGTGAAAACAAGTACATGATGGGAGGTTTCATCATTGCTGGTGCTGGTGCTGTTGCGTACCTGATTTATCGACTCGTTCGCATTTGCGTGCCACGTGAGCCTGGCTCCGATGATCCCTACGAATTCACACGCCGATTTTTGATCTTCACTGTGGTGGTTGCCATGGCACTCATTTTGCTCACCATGTCGGTTGCCGTCAAGAGCTTTTTGAATCTACGACAAGGCATCTATGTATTTGCCAAAAAGTCCTCTGCTGATCGTAGAAAGAAAGGAACATCATTACGCAGCATGTCCATTATTGACCAAGGATCCGATGAGTTTGACTCGTCGGAAGCGCCGGTTATGCTGCATCATCATCGTCATGAAGACAAGATTGCATTGGATGACATGGATGAAGAACAACAACCAACACAACATGGCCGGAATGATAAATCTCGCCAACATCAGGATATGTGGTCTATCGAGTAATATTGCTCTTTTTCATCATCCATTTCTTTGTACACTGCACACAACTCCCACCACCACATTATACATGTATATTTCTTAATCCTCATATCATAATATATCACTGCAAGCAATTGTTCTTTCGTTATCACATGTTTTGGATCGGTTTTTTATATGTATTTTCCAATGTCTAGCTGAAATCGTTCTACTCTTCAGCATGCTGCAAACAGGGTATCAACAAAATGCTGGATCGCTGCACGACCACCATCGTTCACGAATCGTCGTTCTCGGCATACAATACTGGCATGAGCATTGAATCCTCGGATATAGACAAGCACACGTTCCCACTCAAGCTGATCAAGGTGTTTTTGGATCTGTATCTGGTGTGCTGACAACGCCATGGGTTGAACAACTTTGGTGATTCTTTCGGAAGGCATGACATTGTACAAGCTGGAGCGTTTCTTGGTGGTTTCTATGAAGGCATGTTACCATCATCATGTATTCAATCCCGCTTTTAATATGTACCTTGATGCATGTTCACTGCTGGGCTGGGGTTGGTGGGTATGTTGGTTGCATCCAAGGTATCGACCAAAATTTCCTGATTCTCTTCCTCCAAAATAGTGCTGTGATTACTCTTGCTGCTACGGCGGATGGTCTCTGATTGAATCAATTGTTGCGTTTTCTTTGATGATGATGCGGCTAAAAGTCGTGCTACACGTAGCCGTGACATTAAACCTTGCGACCCGATATAAAGGAATGCAAGCAGAGCAACCACCGGTAATAAAGGCGAAAAGATCACGAGAAGACATTTGACTAGGATACCATCCTTGGATCGTTTTCGTTTCTTGCTAGGGTGGACGCTTCTTGTTGTTGTCGCTGTCATTGTGCTATCATCATTCTTATCCTCATCATGCTGTAATAGGTCAAACGCCGTAATGATGGATGAATAGGTTGAATCCACCGATCTATCGTATGCCATGAGTATTCTTTCACACACTTTATATCTTTTCTCGAATCCTACTTACATATCCAAATCCTTCATGATCTCAAAATGGTTGGTAATTTCCATTGCTGCTGTCCAATAAGGTACGGTGCGATCATTGGCCACGTTGGCATAGGTGCGCCTTTGCTTGAATCGTGATAGGTACTGATGAAATTCTCGTTCTAGTGTACCTCCATGTCAACAAACCCATTACATGTAAGCTTGAGCCTGATACATACTTGGATCTGCTAACACGCTTAAAATAGGTGATCCATCTTGGTAATCATCTAGCAGCTGGAGCTGTTCACCCGTTCTTGACAGGATATGACCAGTGATATAGTTATAAAACTTGAGGAATGTCGACTTGGGTTCGCGTCTGACGCCAAGATGGGGTGTAGCAAAGGTGACATATAGCTTCAATCACAAAGCGAGTAAGCATTACTGCATGTAACCCTCATTTTCCATCTTACGTACCAAGGGTTTGATGTTGTCAAAGAAACCGGATTTGCCCAGGACACCGATTGCATAACGAAGCATCAATCCGCCAAGAGAATATCCCACCATGATCACTCCTTCGACTTGGGTATCCTTGTTGTTATCCAACTCATCCACCCGATCACGAATCTACCAGGATCCGCATGGTGAGCTCATGTTGCATAGCAATGCTTCCCAAGCAACGATACCAAACCTTTTGTGCTAGTCGCTCTCCACACACATCTATCTACTTTGCTCGTTAGTCAACAATATCATTCGAACGCTACCCATCATCATCATCATCAGCACAAACATACGCCGTCATATGTATATTTCCCTTCGTTAATATCGACATTGAGCTATGTCAGCAAGTGAATAAAAGGAAGAATACGAATAGCAAGAGTTCCCAACTTACGATATCGATTGCATCAGAGGCATCGCACGCTTCTTCAATTGCCTTTCGAATGAAGCGCATGTGGTTCTTGTTCCCCCAGAGGCCATGCTGCAATACAATGAGTGTCACTTGTGTCATGAAAGTTTGTCAAGCAAAGAGCACAATAAACGGCGTTACCTGTAGCACAGCAGTTTAATACATATGAAACATCGGATAAAAGCTTCCCGCAGGCGCCGAGATACCCTTTGCCAAAATCAGCAAGTTGAATACGTGTAGTGATTTCTCAAATTGGGATGTTGTTGTCAATGGAGCGGATAGCTATGCACACCCTATGTAAAAATAGATCTAATAAAGGATGGTTCATTGTCACTGGATTGTCATTGCTTATTGATCTCGATCCCACATCCCATTGTGATATGGGTCCATTGCTTGTCATCTTCTTTATTCGTAGATGCTGTTTACATACCTTTCTAAAGGCATTCATCATCATCCTGTTTGTGCAGCACCTTGTCAACGACCATGTGTAACACGTACCATTTCACGCACTGCATCACCTTGTTCATAGTCCTCTTGACACAATCAATTAGCAGCAAACAGCTCCATCGCGCATACTACTACACTATACGTAAAGCATAAAGGTACCTACTTGTCGAGATTTTCATAATGAAGCTTGTAGGCTTTATGAGATCGTGATTGATCAGTGTGCCCAAGAGCATCTTGTATGAAAGTTTCAAGTACGAGAGGGGCAATCACAAGATCAAAGATTGTAGGGCAGTGCCTGACCTATTAATTTCCAGCTCTTCCACTCCCACCTTATTTCCACTTGCTCCCCATTCTCAAATGTCGGTCCATTCAAGTATACAACAACCACCTGCGAATGATTGTCCTGCTTCAACCCATCATGTCAACCCTGCACTTGTCTTGATCCGATTGTCTTTGACTGAATGGCAAGTCCTTGACGTGTAGGCAGCCTTCTTGTCACTCTTCTACAATACACGAGTCTCTTGATACAACACGCTCTCTTGCGCGCTTCCCTACCACGATCAAGCGTAACAGCGTCCATCCCATCAGTTACTATCAGGGAGGCCTTACTCAATCGTCTCAATCAACTTTTTTTACTTGCAGCAACATGCCTAGCACCCTTTTTCACGTGAACAGCAGCCATTGTATGCAAGCAGCTTTATTTACGTGTAACAACTTGCTTCAACACATACAACTTCTTATGGATGATGCCATATCAGCTATCAAGTACACACCACAACACAAGCAATCTTCACCTGGTTGAGATGCAATGGAAAATAAGCAAGAAAGAGATACATCTACAGCAGGATGGGAAAGGAAGCATATCAGCAGCGATAGCATGGCTCTTTTCAACCAACATATTGGGTCTGCAATGGCTATGGATGGATGGATGCAATCAAGTGCAGTGGCATAGGTTCTTGGAATGTTGCTTTGGTTATTTGGTACGTCGTCAGCAAGAGGGATCTTGTCACGTGGATACGGCTGAGGATGATGATGGATGGGATGGCATTGTTGAGAAGGCCACGAGAAGCAGTTTACAGCCATGGATGGTATTGGAGTACTCGGTCTTTTTCGGATATTGGAGCAGAGGCATTGCATGAGCTTATGGTTGGAAGCACTTGGTGGCATAGAATTGATTGTATATCCTTATCTACAAGATTCATCGACAGAAACACGAAGGCACATGAGGCACCGACACTGGTCTTACTTGAAGCTACTTATGCTGGATGGCATGGAGGATTCTATAATGGTAAGGAGATGAAGGGAAGGATCAAGGATAGCTTCAAGGTCATTGTACATATCGCCTTGGCTGTATGGGATTGAATGGATCTGCTGGACGGGATGCTTCTTGATGGTACATAGCTAGATGGTTTCAACATTGTAGTTAGCGGACGTTGACGTTTTTATAAAAGCACGTACTACTGTAAACTATTGAACCATGATCCGCATGCTTATTGATGACAAAAATACAAAGAAAGAAGGGAGGAATGGGTTATCAGGTACCATGGTGGATGCGCTTGGATAAGGACAGACACACAAATATGAAAGTGAGGGCGAGAGAAGAACGCTACTGCTGGAAAGCATTGCCTGGATTATTGGATATACTACGAGGGTCATACAACATTTGAGCGGGCCCTGTCATTATCTGCACATCTACATCCAATGCTTAAATTACGACACGACAAAGAATTGTCCTATGCAACAAGGGCATAAACCCAACATATTAGAAGACCACAGACTGGTACAACGTTGTTATTACCTAACCAACGAGGACCTTGTCATAGCAATTTTAACACAATACACTATGATGGATGATGCTGTTATAAGGAGGAATAGGTTAGACATGGAACCTATGTTGCACAAATGAATGATTGCTGAAGGTCAGCTTATCGAGTGCACGGACCATGTTGTCAAGGAGGTTGCATTAGTGTCGGTGACTTAAAGGCTATCATCAATGCCTGCACATGGAAATGGCCATCAGAGTCGTTTTATTAATACAAACAACAGCTAATGATATCTCTGTTGCGTTCACGTCAAGACGATGCATGCTATCCAAGGCACGTGCCTTGATCGACATTTGTATGGTATCGCGAGCAGGAGCAGGGACGAAAAAACGGTACACTACAAGATACCACTAACGCGAGGTATGGGCCACAGCGATAACGATACGAGGACAAGCAAATTAAAATAGCTGTAATCACAAAGGCAGCTCGAAGGCCATTGGCAACGTTCTCCATTCCAAGCGTTCTTGATTCCAAAGCAGCAACAACAACACGCGCGATTCCA